AACAAAGTTGAACATGTCGCTCCTACTTCTGTTTGGTACTTTGGATGGAACTGAAGTACTGTCAGATGTATCATCAAATGTGAAGTATTGTGAAGTACTGTGATGTGGTTTCCTCAAATGTACTACAGTAATATAGAGTACAATACAGTAAAACACAGGGAACTACATAGAACTACATGACAAGATAACTATTATTTATCATGTTTAAATCTGAATTCTTCCTGTTCTGACTGTAATGATTCACACTAAGATCTTGTCAAGACATTTAAAAAGGGAAAAAAAAAAAAGCATTTCTACAACTATATAAATATTTATATATAAATATACAATGACTTTTTAAGCACAAGTTCATTTAAAAGTCATATAAATGAAATGACTTGAAACTCAAAGCAGACGACTTGGACTTGACTTGGTCTTATGGGCCAGTAACTCGAGACTTGACTTGGACTTGTCTGTATTTGACTTGGGACTTGACTCAGACTTGAGGTCAAAGACTTGAGACTTACTTGAGACTTGCAAAACAACGACTTGGTCTCACCTCTGGTATTTTTATAACAAAACTGAAGGCTGTTACATCAAAACCCAACATCCTGCTTAGTTTCACTGTGTAACTTTTCTGAAAACAGTAAATATATACATATTTAGTGGATGGGCTCGCCTTTCCACAGACCTAACCTATACACTGGCGTAGTTATCTGCTCCTAATTCTTAGTTATGTGATGCTATCGGCTTCAGGAAAAACACTGTTCCACCACAAAAGACACATTGCACCTTTACTGCACCTGACAATAACGCAGTATTGAATTTAAACTGAGCAATGGTTCACCGATTTTAGATTAGTTTATTTGTCATTTTTATGTTATACAGAAACTCAATTGTTTCACAGTCACCACATTTCAGTGCGACAAAAGATGTAGTAAATGTAATATAGAGTCAGAGTCTTTGATTTAACTGCCTTTCTGCTATTGGCATCAAAGTGTTGAGAAGTCGAGTCGTACTGGAGCACCAACTTTGGCCGTGGACCCATGTCCATAGAGGAATAACCACTGTCCAATTCTGTTTCAAATATGGTTCTTTAGGTGTTTGGTCTCACTTTAAAGAGAAGTATGCATATATCATGAGACTAAATTGGGTAATAGAGAATCATTATTGCTGCTGTATCATTATATCACCAAGATAATTATGTCTGTCTCTGTAACTGCTGCAGTGAGCCTCGTCATTTTGGTCTTAAAATGTTCTCACTAACCCGCTGTACAGAGAGGGTATTATACAAAATTTTGTTTTTGTACTTTCTACCATGTTCTAAGATCGCTTCCTCATGAGGAACATGCCGGAAGAGGTTTTAGATGTCATCCATGTATGTTTCAATTCTCTCGGTGTCCTGTCGATTTGAGCTATCCGTACATGTACCTCCAAACGCTGGTCAGGTTTAAATGCCATCAATTTAAGCTTCCAGGGCAAAGGTGGAGTAACAAATCACATTTTAAAGGTGTATTGTTTTATTGTCTAAGGTTTATTGTTTATTGTTGTTTTGACCAGTTAAACACTGACATGTGCTTAGATTTGCAGCAGAATAACTACGTTACATGATTGAATAGTCTGGATTTAATATTTGATTTTATCATTATTGTAGGAGACAGGACTGGTTCAGGGTGTGGGTGTATTGCTCTGGTGCAGAGGGGGCGGGGTCACGTGGGCAGGTGCGCGTGCATGTGTGCCTGTGGAAGGATTTAAAAATGTGCACTTACCTGTTACCCAGTTTCGACTGAGGGTCAGGGCTGGGTAGCAGTAATTTTTGTTGACCGCCACTCCTTTTCTATACTCACCCTTTATTCTCTAACTGGTTCTATCCATCTTCTTCTCTGCGCTGGGATAGCTGTATGTCTGTTAAATAATATACAAATGCATTCTGGACCCGAGCGTATTAGTTTATATTAGCCTTTATGCGCGCATTACAAACTACGACCCTAGAACCCACTCTGATCTTCCCGAGCGGCTATAAGGTTGGTCAGTAAGCCGCTACAATTATCATTTTCATTACATCATATTTTGTTTTGTTTTCATGTGTAGAAAATGTCATAACTTTGTTTAGAAAGGCGCTGTATAAATAAAATATCACTATATGTTTCACTGTTTAACTGTGCATATGACTGAAAGGTTTTCATTCTCACTCTTCTCTGTCATTTATGTCTCTCTTTTTTAATTTTAATCTTTATGATTATTTATGTTTTGATTTGTTTTTATTGTGATTTTAATGTATTTCGGTAACACTTTATAATAACTACACATTATTTAGCCTTAATAAAGCATGAACAAAGACTTAATTAATAATGAATAAAGATTTAATTTAATGATTGATGCTTAGTAAATGCTTAATAAAACATAATTAGTCTTCACTTTAGAAAAGCTCTCAAAAAGACTTAACTAACAGATAACAGCTGCCTGAATTATCATTGCATTGCATTATTAGTAAATCATTCTCTCATAGTTCACTAATGATTAATAAATGCTCAAATGGTTAGTTCATGAGTAATTAAGTATGAAATAATTATGAGTAACTATTTACAGCACAAGCAAATTAAGTCCAAGTGCGAATTAAGGTAGTAATTAAGTAGTTACTAAGTGTGAAATCATTATTAATTAAGTCTTTGTTCATGCTTTATTAAGGCTAAATAAGGTGTAGTTATTTTAAAGTGTTACCTGTATTTCTTATTCTGTAAAGCACTTTGAATTACTTTGTGTACGAATTGTGCTCTACAAATAAACTTGCCTTACCTATATTATAACAGGAAATTCACATTGTATCGGATATCCTATGATATTTATTTAATCTAAAGAGTTCAGTGTTTCCAGTGATTTCATTCTCTTCTATAGTGGGAGCCATCTTACAAAAGATATAGGCCTGTGAAAATGAGTTCTGCCCAAATTCATCTAATTGAGTGAATAATGTTGATTGTACAGTGGGAGCATTATTCGACGGTTAAATTGTCCTATGGATCTGTGCTCCTTTTATTTGATAGCAGAATACGAAAATGAACTGTGCAGATTCATATAAATGAGATGAAATTTGACATAACTTAGGGTGACCAAACGTCCGTTTTTCCCCGGACATGTCCTTATTTGGCATCCTGTCCTGGGCGTCCGGGTTTTTTTTTTTTTATAAAGTGATGCAAATGTCCGGGTTTTCAGTACCGTTCATTGGGGGCATTAAACTGAGCGTCTCTCGTAGCGTCTGTGACTCAGAAGGAGCGAGACACAAACAGTTGGTCAGTCTGCAACATGATGAAGCACAAATGCGCATTTAACAAAGACTTGTACTTCTCTGTTTTCCGTCTCGGTCGGGACAAGTGGGAGGTCATGTGCACAGGTTGGAGGTGAGAGGACAGTGTCCCTCGTTCATCGTGGGGGTTATGTTCTAAAAATAACCTGCGATAGGTGAAATCCACAAAGTAGTCAACTTCATATTTTACAATTATTCTATCTGTGTTAAGGCTGTAAAACCCCTCAGCACAAACTTTATACACTTTTCTCAGACAGGACAGGTGCAACCCTTTTTACTTCCTTCTTAAAACTTGTTGCTGCTGTCATCCTTTTGTTATTTTCCATCTTCTTTATGTAACAAACTGAAGATTCATTTATTCCATAATGGAGCCCAACAGCGCAGAGTCCCGCACGGGTCCATTTTTGGAGACCCCCAGTACAACACTGCACCTGCGCAGTACAGGACCGCACCTGCCAGTACAGGACTGCACCTGCCAGTACAGGACTGCACCTGCCAGTACAGGACTGCACCTGCCTGTTAGCCAGGGATTATATCAAACTTTTGCGCTGCCTACGCCATGGACTGAACTAAGACTAAACCAGGACTGATTCCAGGACTGAAGAGGAGGACTAATCCACAACTGAACCACGACTAAAACAGGACTAAACTATAACTAAACCAGAAGTGAAACAGGACTCACTGTCAGGACGGGCTCAGAGGTGATGCAGGAGAAAGGACCGGCTCAGCTCCGCACCTCACGGATGTAAACGCGGCAATTCCCCTATCGCGCTTTACGGACAAACTGCTCGGTGTTCTCTCTCTTAAGTCCAAGATTAGACCTGGTTTAGACCTGGTTTGGTCCTGACCCACCTGGGTGCAAATACTACCCGCCTGTAATACACAATACACGTTCATAAACTGTAAAAAAAAAAAAAAAAAAAAAAAGCATGCAAAATTGCACAAAAAAAAAAAATCCGCCAAGGTGTCCGGGTTTTCACAAACGGAAATATGGTCACCCCAACATAACTAAGATATAAAGCCTGATCACCGTGAGCAAACAGCATCAAACCCTCTTCTCTAATCCAAAGAAATATGTTGTCAAACTGAGGAGGTGACCTTTATTGGATCTATACAACTGTAAACCGAAAAACGTAAGGTCGCTTATTTCGACTGGGTAAAGTGAATCAATCAACATCACTGTTGATTTAGGCTTCTGGGAGCTCATTTCGACAGGGCAGCCCATCACCACAGAACACCGGCCCCTCTTCGAACCCCCCTTAATGTTAGCTGTAAGACTCTGTACAATTCTGTGCATGCCAGCCATGCTTCCACGTGACGATTCTCCATAAATACAGAAACATTTGTAACAGCAACTTGACAAACCTGATGTGACGTGCTGGAGTTTCATTAGCGGGATTCACACTGACTGTTGTGACAGCGCTCTGAACGGGGAGTAACTTTGTGTGGGGAGAAAAGGGAGGGAGTGTCAAAAATGAAAGTGAAATTTTGAAAACATGTTAATATGTTGTTATTGGTGAATGCAGCATTTTCGAAACAATAAAAAGTAACACGGTGATGTCAATATGTGACATGTTAACAGTTAATACTCCATAGAAGTGTAATTACCCTCTTGAATATTTTAGGCAAAGATGTTTTTTTGAAGCCTGTCTTCTCACCAGTGCCTCGGGTTGTTGTGTTGAAGTCTGTCATGAGTTAGTGTTGTGGTGATGTGTTGTAGGTGGTTCAGCTGGAGGAGCTCTTGGCCGTCCGTCACTCGGTGTTCGTCATTGGGAACGCGGGCACAGGGAAGAGCCAGGTCCTGCGAGCTCTGCAGAGAACCTACCAGAACATGAAGCGCAGACCGGTGTGGACGGACCTCAACCCCAAAGCGGTCACCAACGATGAGCTGTTCGGCATCATCAACCCGGCCACCCGCGAGTGGAAGGATGGTGAGTACTCCAGACTACAACAGTGAGTACTCCAGACTACAACAGTGAGTACTCCAGACTACAACAGTACACTGGAGCAGGGCTGAGCATCACAGGGCCCCTCATAATTCACTGAGATACACGGTACGCAGCCGATGATACCAGGTAATCAGTATAATGCACATGACAATCTGTGATAGGTCACTGTTTTAAAAGAAACAAATACATTTTTACTGTACCATGTTATAATGTTGTTTCCTCATCACATTGTTTCATTTACCATATTTTTGGGACAATAAGTCGCTCTGAAGTATAAGTTGCACCAGCCAAAAAATGCATAATGAAGAAAAAAATAACATATATAAGTTGCAATTTTTGGGGGAAATTTATTTGATAAAATCATAGACCAGGGACTGACATTTCCTGTTGAAAGTCAAGTTGTAGTAAAAACAATAGAAGAGAGAACAACAGACTGTTAACGTCACATATGAACAGTTCTTCAGATAAACTATACAGAACAAGTTTACCAAACTCTCCATCTCACTCCAAATCACTAAATCCATTCAATTCTTCATCCTCGGTGTCACTTCTGAACAACTCGGCCTCGACCTCCGGAGGTAAACAGAATGTCGCTTCCTCTTCTGTGTCGCTGTCATCAGACTCAGCATCAGTTCCAGTTAGAATTATTCTGGCCAGGATGATTTTGGTTGTTACTGAAGTCCAGGCTTTGTCGATCCATCCAACAAATTTCTCTCTCACTCCAAACTTCCTTTCTGCTGCTTAATTACTGTTTTCAGCTGCAGATTTCAATACTTGCAGCTTGTAATCTGCAAAATATGATTGTCTTTTTGGGGGCATTTGTGTTCAGTTTCTCAGTCGTCTTTATAAGTTTGTTTAAACTGGTACATAAGTAATGGTGTGATTGACATTTTAATGATTTCTGCCCTAGAATTGTCAGTCTCTACAGAATCAAAAGTAAAAGCTATAGCCCTTTAATTGAAAATTACCACTACATGACATCACAAGGTGGGACACTGGATTCTGAGCCCCTACTCACTGTCTGCATGTGTGGAGATATAGATCCTTTTCTATCCGTTTCTATTTCACTATTTTATCCATAAATAAATTCCTAATATAGAAACCTGTGAGTGACGTCACACTGCTTAATCCACTTCTTTATACTGTCTGTGGGTGAAACAATTGTGATTATATAAAATATCCCACTAATATTTTCTACCTTTTTTATCATAATAAACCATATTTTTGCTTATTGTCTGCTCCCTACTTTAAAGTTATATCCTATGGCACATGTGGACCATAAAGTTATAATTTAGACATTTAAAATTACATTACAAAGTATTCATCTAAAACCTCTTAATAAAAGAAATCAGCTGACTTCTGTGTCAGAACACGGTGTTGCCCAATGGAAGCTGACTTCACTGAAGTAAAGACAGAGCAGTGGACGTGTACTGGAGACATGGTAAAAGATTGCCCAAATATGCACAAATCACTCCAAATACTTTGGATGAGTAAATGATGAGGGGAAACAACTGTAACATGGTTAAAAGCTCTGAAAAGTAGATTTGGCTGCTCTAATGTCTTTTGAGTTTTTCTGACAGTTGAGAAACTTGTCACTCGCGTTGTGCTCACACAGACCCTCTTTACAGGCCTGTTCTCCAGCATCATGAGGGACCTGGCCAACATCAGCCACACTGGGCCCAAGTGGATGGTTCTGGATGGAGACATAGACCCCATGTGGATCGAGTCCCTCAACACGGTCATGGACGACAACAAGGTACAACCACTCTGACCGCACTGACCACAATGACCGCACTGACCACTCTGACCACACTGACCACACTGACCACTGGCACCGAACAAACTCAGAACAATAAGAAACCAAGCTGTGGAAAGTCCAAAACGATTCAACCTGGTGACTGTGACTGTGATCATGAAAGAGACAATATCACACGTTTTTTTCTGATCTGTTCTGTTTCCTCATCACACACAGAGCTGGAGTTGTGTTTTGTTTCATTCACACATTTTTAACACACAAAGTCTGTGGATTTAGACTCCACACACCTTCACTAGAATCATTTGGATCATTTCAGCTCTGGAATGGAGCTCAGCAGTTACCACACAGCACATGGTTTTGGAACTAAATTTGTTATCAATTTTTCAACTTTATGGGAAAAAATAAGAATAAATAAATAAAAAAAAGCTACTGGTTAATTAGTGAAGAAGAATTTAATTAATTAATTAATTAACTTATTTTTTTATGTATGTATGTATTTATTTATTTTTATTATAGAAAAAGCTCTGCATAACAATATAATATACATTTATACAGAATATTTAAAACACTAATTTGCCACACGGAAATATAATCCTAACAATTCTCTAAACCAGTGTCAAACAAATTTTGGTCCGGCGGCCGTATCCAAGCTACTTTGATCCCAAAGGGGCCGGATCAGAAAACTCATGTCATATTAACCCCAAAAATAACAATAAATTCAAATATTTGTGCAGAGAAACACAAATCTATTACAGAAATCTTTTTTAATTGATAAACTCTTAAAAAAAAAAAAAATTATATTATGATGAACAACCTGAAACAAAAAAAAAATGCAATTTCAAAACAATGTTTTAACATGAACTTGTGCAAATAGGAATAAGTCAATTTTTGTTGTAAAATTCCTGCACTCGGCTCCACTTTTCTCATGTTGGACATTTTGTTGATGAGGGTGTCACGGTCAACAGTCAAAACGATCGTCCTTTAAGAGCGTTTGGAAAGAGACAAGTCTTCATTTGTGCTGCTCTGGTGGGAGGGGCCACGTACAGAGACGCTGGAGACGCTGCTGTGATAAACACCACAGAAAATTAACAAGATTTTAATAGAAAATATAGTTAAAATATTTTAGTAGAAATTCAGCCGAGAGCCAGATTAAAGGTCTTGGAGGGCCGAATCTGGCCCCCGGGCTTTATGTTTGACACCTGTGCTCTAAACTCTTGCTTTGTCTTCTGGAAGTCTAGAGCCTGTGTTCCATTGGCAATTTAAAAACAATATAATATCACAACAACTTAAATACTCTCTTCCATTTTATAAAGAAGTTTAAATGTTTAACTCTGGACAGATACATGAATTATGAGACTTAGTTTGTGTTGTAGTACTTTATTGTTTTGTTTCTGATTTGTTTGTTTCCTCTTGTTGTATTTATGAAGATGAACTGGTGTCAAGATGACGCTCTGACAAAGGAATAAAGGTTAAAGGCAGAATAAACTCAAGCTTCAGCCGACACCTTTTCAGTCTGTGTATGTTTGAATGAATCAGTCAAATATACAGCAGGTTTTGGTCCACCCAAATCATGTTCTGATGCACCAAAATGAAAATCTTAGACGCACCGGTGCACCCAAGTCAAACTGTTAGTCTGGAGCTTTGTTATTCGTCAATAAACCAACAGTGTTGGGACTTTCCAACACTGGTTTAGTCCTGCTTTTATACCTGGTTTAGTCCTGGGTTTAGTCCTGGTTTAGTTTTGGTTTAGTTTTGGTTTAGTCCTGGTTTTAGTCCTGGTTTTAATCCTGGTTTAGTCCTGGGATTAGTCCTGGTTTAGTTTTGGTTTAGTCCTGGTTTTAATCCTAGTTTATTCCTGGTTTTAGTCCTGGTTTACTCCTGGTTTTAGTCCTGGTTTTAGTCCTGGTTTAGTCCTGGTTTTAGTCCTGGTTTAGTCCTGGTTTAGTCCTGGTTTTAGTCCTGGTTTTAGTTTGGTTTAGTCCTGGTTTAGTTTTGGTTTAGTCCTGGTTTTAGTCCTGGTTTTCGTCCTGGTTTAGTTTTGGTTTAGTCCTGGTTTAGTTTTGGTTTAGTCCTGGTTTAGTTTTGGTTTAGTCCTGGTTTTAGTCTTGGTTTAGTCGTGGTTTTAGTCCTGGTTTAGTCCAAAATGTGAAAACAGGAAAATACCACCAATTATTCCATTTATTTCAACAAAGTAACTGTAATCCATTTATCACTCACTGAAACAGTAACTGTAACTGAATACAGTTACTCATAATTTGTACTCTGATTACGTAACGCCGGTACATGTAATCTGTTACTCCCCAACACTGTAAACCAGCCTTATGGATTTAAAGCAGTGCAGTGTGTACCTATGACGTCACAAAACAGGGAAATCCAACACAATTTTAAGGACTAACCAAATAAGGATTCATCAAACAAGTGTAAATAATGCAAAATACATCTCCAGGTATTATAACATGGCTAAAAGCTCAAAAACAACCAAATGTCAAATGAGCTTGTCTTTAGATTTTTATTTTTTTAAATGATCAATATATCAGATTTTCAAATGTTGCATAATGATCTTGATAACATCATCTGTAATTCAATAAACTCCTCAGCTCTCCTGTAACCACACAGAACTGTCACCCCTGTGGTCACTCACACTAACCGCTGCGTCTGACTGTGGTATTCAGCAGTAAATCAACAGTGCCTCCGCCTCAGGACTGACAGGACCGACAGGGACTGACAGGGACCGACAGGGACCGACAGGGCTGAGGATAGCGCTGGGGACTGCATCTGTGTGAAGGCCTGTCACAGAGACACATGCAGACCGTCAGTGTCAGCATCCAGAGCGCTGTCAGAGGTCGGCTTCATTTACATCATGTAGTCAAAGAGAATCCAAACAACATCGCTGTTTTTGGTCAGCGTCCTCCAGAACAGAAACGCTGTGGTACACTCGACACCGGTTATTTCCACAGACTGTCAGATGAAGCTCACGAGGCACTTATTGGAGCCAATCTGGAGGAGAGTGTTAGGAATAGGAACTGATTTACCAACAAAATAGTGAAATAAAACTACAGGGATCATGTAAAGCAGGTTAATAAGAACATTTTAAACCAAAACAACGACGCTCACTGCAGAAGTTACATAGGCTGCGTTCATAGACTGCAGCCTGAAGTGACCCAAATCCGATTTTTTGGCCCCTATGTGACCTGTATCTGATCTTTTAATGACAGTCTGAACCACACAGATCCGATTTTTTCATCCGGGTTGGGTTAAACATTGTGGACTCTTGTGTTGGTTATAACCTTAGGGACTTCTGATGCTCAATTTATTTTTTTGCTTCATCATTATTCACAAACACGGTTTTCTGTATTTTGCTTTAACAACTGACAATTTATGCTCCTCTTTACTGTTGATGGGGATCAGATGAGTCAAAAATTGTGAAAATCCTGTTTTAGTTCTGATTTAGTCCTGATTTTGTCCTGGTTTAGTCTTAGGCTGCGTTCAGACTGCAGCCTGAAGTGACCCAAATCTGATTTTTTGGCCCCTATGTTCCTGTATCTAATCTTTTAATGACAGTCTGAACCACACAGATCCGATTTTTTCAAATGTGACCCAGGACACTTGGATATGTGCTCCTGAAACCGATACATATCTGATCTTTTGACATGTGACTTCAGTCTGAACGGCCAAAACACATTCATTCGACGTACACGTTATCAACAAGCCACAAACGTCACTATTCTGCACTGAAGTAGGCGAAAATTGTTAATGAACTCCGTGTCACTGAAGTGAAGCACATCACCACTCACCACTCTTGGCTACGTCTCCACATCCACACGTTCCTTTCAACGGACGTCACTGCTGCTGTCCCACAAAACACCACGGCCAAAAACCTCGTCCTTCTCCTTCTCAGTCTCCTCCTTAAAACAAGTAAGTTGTTCATGTTCTGGCTCAGGTACGAGAGGAACTTTAAAATCTCCAGGTGCTCAATGCTGCGTCCATGTTTGGACAACACAGAGCACGCTCGCTGAGGTTGATGTCGTTGTGTCTCCAGTGCACATGTGGGACACTTTTGGGCCGTTTAATGTTCACACTGAAGATCACATACAAGTCACATTTAATTGGAAATGTTAACGACCTCGCAAAAACATCAGATTTCACAAAAAAATCGGAATTGAGCGTTAAGCCCTGCTGTCTGAGCGTAGCCATAGAGACTTTTCTTCAATGTAAAGTCTAGTTCTTTACATTCTTGATTTTACCCTAATTATGCAACTAATTATACGAGTCTTCTGGTGGGGGTGTCATTACTTTTAGTTGAGTAGACGTTGGCAGTTGCACGGCTGAAATTATCTTAATGATTCAAGTGAAGGTGTAAGGGGGTTAATAATGTAATACAGGTCTTTTTAAAAATACATTGAAAGAAAAATCAATAGGTACTGTGCGCGGGGTCACCTCTCCGGAGAGCTGACGTGTAACATGTTGACATCCTGTATATGTATATGTATATGCATATGTATATGTATATGTATATAGGGACTATCAGGTGCAAACAGAACCAATGCAACTTTTATACAGCTGCCAAAACATTTAGGATTTAGCTTAAAAGTGGGGGAGCGTTCATCGATCTATTAATGCAAGAAACGTCTGCCGATGTCTGGGTTTGTTTGTCTGTTCCGCTCATAACTCTTGAATCACTCATCCGACTGATCTCAGATTCGGAGGGTGTCATCCCAATGGTACGAGTGTGTGCATTCCAAAGTTTTATGTTGTTAGGACAAAAAATGCCAAAGACCTGGTTACAAATGTGCATTATAATGTAAGCAGTTGTAAATAGTACGCAATGTATTTTTATTTTTTATTTTTTTTACCTTTCTACCATGTTATAACATTGTTCTCTCACCAAAAACATGCCTGAAGAGGTTTTAGATGCTATCCACGCATGTTTGAGTGATTTATTGATCTCACTTTGGCCTATTCAAACCTTCTACAACAGTGGTGTAGTGGGGATTTTTTCAAATGAGGGTACTTGATTTCTGAGTCATCGTCAATGTGATAAATACAGAAAACATGATACAAAACTGTACACAGCAACTCGACAAACCTGATGTGATGTGCAGTAGTTTCTTTAGAACAGGGGTCTCCAAACTATTGCTCGGAAGCTACCAGTAGCTCGCCATCCCTTTCCAAGAAGCTCACCAAAGGATTTCCAAACACCTTCACACCTTGAAGCAGATATCATATAATGTGACCATTTTTTATTCCCTAGACCCCCCATTACCCTCCTCCACTGTAATATCCAATCCCCATTGTAAAAAAATAAATCAAAATATTATACTACTACTACTACTACTACTAATAATAATTATTATTATTACATTTAATAAAATTAATAAATAAATATAAGGAAAAGAGGGATTTTTTTTTTTTTACTTTTTTTATAATTAATTAATAATTAATTTAAATAAATTAAATAAATAATAAAAAAAATTCTAAAGTCCAACTTTTTGCACCAATAAATGGACAGTGGTTTATGTTTCATGCATGTAACTGTACCCAAAACCTCGCCCTCTTTCTTATAATCGGCTCAATTTTTTGCGGCCTCTAAAATGAGTAGCTCTCCTGCATTTTTGTTTTGTGAAGGAGCTCACCGCAGGAAAAAGGTTGGAGACCCCTGCATTAGAAGGATACACGCTGATAGTGTTGTGATAATGCTGTGAAGGGGTAGCGACTTAGTGCAGGAGCAAAGAGAGTGTCAAAAACAAAAATGAAAGTTTTAAAGCATATTATAGCATTTTCAAAGAATAAAAGGTAACATGGTGATCTGAATATGTTATGTGTTCACAGTTATACCCTGTAGAAGTAAATTACCCTCGCTTTAAGTTTTCTGGGTGAAAATGTGTTATATAAATGTATTTATATAATACAGTTACAATTATCCTCCAAGTGCCCACTTGTGTTTTGTGCGTGCTCATGTCTAGACTGTGTGAGTGGTCAGCACACAGCTCTTTCCCACAGGCTGCTGTACAAATGAGAGCTCAGCGTGTGTGATGTGTGTGATGTGTGTGTCCCGGCAGGTGCTGACACTGGCCAGTAATGAGCGCATCCCCCTCAACCCCTCCATGAGACTGCTGTTCGAGATCAGCCACCTGCGGACAGCGACGCCCGCTACCGTGTCCCGAGCAGGTAACCCTCTCTGTACACCAGCACACACGAGTACCCCACACACCACCGTGTCCCGAGCAGGTAACCCTCTCTGTACACCAGCACACACGAGTACCCCACACACCACCATGTCCCGAGCAGGTAACCCTCTGTACACCAGCACACACGAGTACGTACCCCACACACCACCGTGTCCCGAGCAGGTAACCCTCTGTACACCAGCACACACGAGTACCCCACACACCACCGTGTCCCGAGCAGGTAACCCTCTCTGTACACCAGCACACACGAGTACCCCACACACCACCATGTCCCGAGCAGGTAACCCTCTCTGTACACCAGCACACACGAGTACCCCACACACCACCGTGCCTCGAGCAGGTAACCCTCTCTGTACACCAGCACACACGAGTACCCCACACACCACCATGTCCCGAGCAGGTGACCCTCTCTGTAGACCAGCACACGCGAGTACTCCACACACCACCGTGTCCCGAGCAGGTAACCCTCTCTGTACACCAGCACACGCGAGTACCCCACACACCACCATGTCCCGAGCAGGTAACCCTCTCTGATAAACAGTATACACGAGTACCCCACACACCACCATGCCTCGAGCAGGTAACCCTCTCTGTACACCAGTGTTTCCAAAACGTTTTTGTCTGGGGACCCATATTTTAAAAGGCACAAACCAAACCAAAGTCAATACACATTATTCATAAATGACCAAATAAAGATGGATTTGACCATTACTGAACATTAATGAGGAGATTTTATTGTTGACTGAGTGATCGTGTCTCTGAACTATTGGTATTACTCAAATTTTAAACAATGAAAAGCAGTCACTGAAGCAGCAATAAAAGGATCCATAAATCGCCTATTTGGACATTAAATGTAGAACATTTCTTTTTCTTTTCAGCATTCAATTGAAGCAGCAATATTAGAACAAAATAAAATAATTACAAGATTAGAAATGATACAAAAACATGTCTTAACATTTCTAAATTTCTAATGAGATAGGTGGGCCTGTGTGTGTTTTTGTGGCGTGGTCAGTCCAGATGCAGGAGGAGATGCAGCAGCAGATCAGGTCCAGCATTCAGTCTGTTTCTGTGCTTTGTCTTCATTTTTGTGAGCACAGAAAATCCCAATTCACATATATATGTAATTATGAAAGGAATAAGCAGAGAAATAGTGTCAGAACTATATACTGCAGACCTACATGCACATCGTGACAAGGCCACCCAAAAAAATCTCTTTCGACCCACCTGAGGGTCTGTAGCAGCCGATAATGTAACCAGTCTTTGAGAAACAATGTGGTATACCACCAAACACAAGTAACCCACATTACCATGTGCAGAGCAGCTCACCGGCTATATTCTGACAACAGACACCTTGTTTCTAGAGCCCCTCTCCTCCACACACACTTCCTCTATGCCTTCACAGCTTTAACCCCCCCCCCAGCCTGGTGGGTGGGTCTGTTGTATTCAGCACCACGTGGGTGCAGGATCTGGACTGTTGCTTGCCTATGTCGTTATGTCTGTACTGTGATTTGTTTATGTGTTGATGTTTTTTTGTTTGTTTGTTTGTTTTGTGTGTGTCTGTGTGTGTGTGTGTGCTGGTCCCAGACTATGCCCCTGTAAGCAGTATGGTCTGGGGGCTGTTCTCTTTTTTTCACTCTTACCCCTATCCTCCTGTTATGCTGTATTGTTTTCTCTGCTCCCTAGGCGGCACGGTGACTGAGTGGCTAGCTCTCACACCTCATAGCGAGAAGGTTCTAGGTTTCCAGGCCTTTCTATGTGGACTTTGCATGTTTCTCCCTGTGATGGGATTTCTCTGGGTGCTCTGGTTTTCCCCATCAACCCAAAACATGCTACACAGGTCTCCAGGAAGAACAGTTGATAGCTTTTGTCATTTAAATACAATCAATCAATCTACCTGTCTTCCTGTCCAGTCCATGTCTCGTACTCACATGTCATGTATGATATGTTTAAATGCATGGATGGGCTGACAGGTCCAATTTCTATTCCTTTGTCTGTCTTGCACATGTGAAGAAATTCACAGGCATTCATTCAATCATTCATACTCAATGTTGGGAACTGGGGTGAGGACCCCATCTACGAGCAGTGTAGAGTTTCATTTTTCAAGTATTAGTTAAACCTCTAACCACACTTTAGCTTCACCAATACCCCATAAAACTCCGAACTTGTGCAGGGACTTGAAGTATATAGGTGCATAATGCAGCTTTTTCCATTTGGATTCTGATATTGATACTTTGATTTTAATTGACTTTAATAGGCATTCTGACTGTGAGCAGGGTCGCTTCTCCACAGGTCTGACTTGTAACTTGGTCTGGTTTCGTCTCCATGAAGATAGAAAAGTTTAATGCCATACTGTGAAACATTCAAAAACAAAACAATAACATCTCCACGGAGCACTCCTCTAGAAAAGTCACACAATGCACCTTCAAGTGTGTGTCAATAGCTGATATTAACTCATAACAGTGTACTTCCGTAAAACTCCTTAAATCTTTCAAATTCCTTAATTTATTGATTGAAGCAAATCTTGACACACTTATTACACAAGAGATCCAACTATGTAATGCAACTGTTATGTATCCTTTAAATAATTGAAGAGCCCTCAGGGCCTCCCCTCTGTGCTGGCTTCCCTCTCTGGTCCACCTCCAAGCTCCTCACTTCCCTGATCAAGGTTCAAGGTTCTTTATTTTGTCATTCAAACATGCGAGAGAAACACATGACAGAACAAAATGTGCTCCCTGAGGCCCAGTGATCCAGAAAGAGATAAAAAAAACAACAAAAAAAACAATAATAATAAGCAATGTTAAAAAAATAAATACATTTAAAACAACAACATTTAGCAGTTCCAATGAACAAGTAGTAAAACGTGGCAAGATAGAGAGAGAGGCAACCAAAGCAGGAAGTCAATGTGCACTGTTCACAAGTCTGACAGCCTCAGGAAAGAAGCTGAACTTCAGCCGAGAAGTTCTAGCTTTAATGCTCCTCAGTCTCCTCCCAGAAGGCAGAGGAACAAACAGATGATGATACTTTTAATGCATCACACCCAACTTTTTTAATGCATCACAAGTCAACCAGGGATGAATGTGGGTTCATGTGTGTGAATGTGTGAGTGTGTGTGCAGGCTTGTGTGTATGTGGATGTGCGTGTATGTTCCTGTACAGGCAGGTGCGTGCATGCATGTGTGTGTGTGTGAATGTATGCACATGTACATATGTATCAGTGAGGGGGAGCATTCAGACCAGGAGGTGGTTCGTTGAGGGGCTGGCTGACCTGGTCTGCGGGTGGTCGCATGCAGGGCCCTTGGAGGTGGTCCCCACATCCCGCCATGGGGGGCATGGGCATGGCTCGGCCTACTCCAGCTTGAGTGGAGATCTAAGGCAAAGCTCCAACACACACTTAACTTATTTTCAATACTCAAGTTAACTAGTAATAATCCAAATCATCCGAATAGCCTGTTTATCCCCCCGTGCACAGACACACATACACACACACATGCAGAAGCACACACACGTGCACACCCGCATATGCACACACACACAGACGCGAGCACACACACACATGCACACGCGCACACCCGCATATGCACACACTCACAGACGCGAGCACACACACATATGCACACACATGCACACACGCACACACGCATATGCACACGCACGCACGCATATGCACACACACATATGCATATGCACACACGCATTTGCACACACACAGACACACACATAAGGTCCACACTGTCACCAGCCCCTGTCACCTTTGTCGCTATTTGTGTGTAATCTTTGTAATCAGAATGTCTGTCTTGTATCTTGTATGTTGTTTGGTTCCTATTTGATGTGATGTATGTAGTTTTCAAATAAAATTAATAATAATAGAAAATAAATAAATAACCTCAGCCAGGTTTATTTGGTCGAATACGTATCGCAGCTCATCCAAGCTGCTTCTTCAGTTCTGGTCAGACACTGGTGGACACTGTCTTATATCTGCCTGAATTATTGGTTATTGTATTTCACTCCATCACAAAAAGCATCTAGATGTGTAATTTCATAGTCAAAGCTCATACCAATTGTTTAGAATATAGAGAAACCAAGTTCTGCTGATATTTTTACAACAATATTTTGGCAGACTTTCAGTATTTTCTCCAAATTGTACAGTTTAAATTTACTACTCTTTTTTTTACTACTCTTTTCTACCACAAACCTTTAAGAGAGCTGCGTAATCATGTTTTGTGCAGTTATTTTTGTGTTAAAATAAAGCTTTGTGTGAAATTTTTTGGACAGTAGATTGACCAAAACTAAATAACAGCCTGTGTTGGAGATTTAAGACCGAGAGCCAATATGCTAAAAATGAAAAAAAAAAAAAAAGATTGGCGAATCAATATACCGATCTATGTCTACTTAAGATCACTCGTTTTGTGTCTTTATTCAGACTTATATATTCTAAGATGCAGCCATTGTGATGGATATGTAAACCTCCAAGCTTTCAATTTCATATGGTCTGTTTAATTTCCAATCAAATGCACGGCCCCTAAAGATATGATCAGCCGTGAGAAATCTAGTCTGTCGTGTGTCATAAATCTTCTGCTCAGTCAATATTTTCAGATTAGCAGGGCTCAGATATGTAATATGAAACGTGCTGTGCATTGACAAACCTTCATGAGGCGTCATTTACATGCAGCCGCGCTCAGCTCTATGGATCCACCTCATGTTTATCTGTTTGCTGTTTAGCTTTGATGACTTTCACATTTTCTTCAGTTACAAAATACCTCCAACCACTCACACACACGCACGCAAGGGTTTGTCTCTGCTAAAGAAATGTATATGTGTAAATGTGTATGTATATAGATATTGTTAGTTAGTTAAAATGACCATATTAGGCTATTTTCTGATCGATGTTATAATGTTGTTTCTAGTGTTGTAGCACTCGAGACCGGTCTTGGTCTTGATATTGGCCTCGAGACCACTTTTTACAGTCTTACTCTCGTCTCAGACTCAAGAGCATTTGGTCTCGATCTTGTCTCGATCTTGATGGTGCTTGGTCTTGTTCTTGTCTCGTTCTTGTCTCGGTCTTGATGGCTCTTGGCCTCGATCTTGTCTCGGTCTTGATGGTGCTTGGTCTCGATCTTGTCTCAGTCTTAATGGCGCTTGGTTTCGATCTTGATGGCGCTTAGTCTCAATCTTGTCTCGGTCTTGATGCCGCTTGTTCTCGATCTTGTCTCAGTCTTGATGCCGCTTGGTCTCGGTTTTGTCTTGTACTTGAGGTCTTGTCTCAGATTCGAGGTGCGATCATAAGTCAGTAAATGTGCAGAGGCTGTTCAGTATCGCTGCAAAACCAGTAAGAAAATGGTCTTGGTCTCATTTCGGACTCAAGCGCCTTTGGTCTCGATCTGGCCTCGGTCTTGATGGCGCTTGGTCTTGGTCTTGTCTAGGTCTTGATGGTGCTTGGTCTCAATCTTGTCTCGGTCTTGATAGCACTTGGTCTCGGTCTTGTCTTGGACTTAAGGGCTTGTCTCAGATTTGAGGTGTTCAATATCGCTGCAAAACCAGTAAGAAAATGGTCTTGGTCTTGTCTCAGTCTTGATGGTGCTTGGTCTCGATCTTTTCTCGGTCTTGATGGCACTTGGTCTCGGTCTTATCTCGGTCTCGATGGCACTTGGTCTCGATCTTTTCTCGGTCGTGATGGCACTTGGTCTCGGTCTCGTCTCGATCTTGATAGCACTTGGTCTCAGTCTTGTCTTGTTCTTGATGCTGCTTGGTCCTGATTTTGTCTCGGTCTAGATTGCACTTGGTTTTGGTCTTGTGTTAGACTCTAGGTCTTGTCTCGGTTTCGAGGTGCGATCATATTTAAGTAAATGCGCAGAGGCTGTTCAATATCACTGCAAAACCAGTAAGAAAATGGTCTTGGTCTCATCTCGGACTTGAGTGCATTTGGTGTTGATCTTGTCTCAGTCTTGATGCCGCTTGGTCTCGATTTTGTCTCGATCTTGTTGCCGCTTGGTCTTGGTCTTATCTTGGTCTTGATGGCACTTGGTCTCAGTCTTGTCTCGGTCTTGATGGCACTTGGTCTCTATCTTTTCTCGGTCTTGATAGCACTTGGTCTCAGTCTTGTCTCAGTCTTGATGGCGCTTAGTCTTGGTCTTGCCTCAGTCTTGATGCTGCTTGGTCCTGATTTTGTCTCAGTCTAGATTGCGCTTGGTTTTGGTCTTGTCTTAGACTCTAGGTCTTGTCTTGGATTCGAGGTGCGATCATATTTAAGTAAATGTGCAGAGGCTGTTCAATATCACTGCAAAACCAGTAAGAAAATGGTCTTGGTCTCGTCTCGGACTTGAGTGCATTTGGTGTCGGTCTTGTCTCGGTCTTGATGGTGCTTGGTCTCAATTTTGTCTCGGTCGTGATGCCGCTTGGTCTCGATTTTGTCTCGGTCTTGTTGCCGCTTGGTCTCGATTTTGTCTCGGTCTTGTTGCCGCTTGGTCTCGATTTTGTCTCGGTCGTGATGCCGCTTGGTCTTGATCTTTTCTCGGTCTGGATGGTGCTTGGTCTTGATCTTTTCTTGGTCTTGATAGCACTTGGTCTCGATCTTGTTTTGGACTCGAGGTCTTGTCTCGAACTCGAGGTGCGATCATATTTCAGTATGACCGTTAAATTTGCAGAGGCTGTTCAATGTCACTGCAAAACCAGAAAAAAAGAAAATGTAACTGTAAATGTTATGAGCTTGAAAAGAAACACTTGATCCACTTTGAAGTAAAGCAAACCATGAAAAAAAGCTGATTTATAGTCCAAAAATACAGTACACATTGCACCTTTTAAACCCCATTACGTAACTTTTTTTTGCAAAAATTAAAGTATGTTTTTTTCATTCTGGATGATTCGGTTTATAGATGTTTGTTCATCCTGTTACAGACCTGAGGAAAGCTCTATACATTGCTAACTATGCACTGTATATATTTACTTTCTATTTGCTTAAAATGAAATGGCAGAAGCTTTACTTAGTACTTAGTGCTAATCTATACAAACAGATTACGAGGCACAGAGGGCCTTAGCTAACATCTTCAAACTCTAGAGACAAAGCGGTGAAATATTATCCTGCTGATGAATCAAACTGTAGAGCAGAATATAGAGCCATAACATCTGGTGCGTTCACGCTGCTCTAGTATCTCTCCACATGAGTCTGTATCCTGTATCTCATCACATTTAACTGGGTAAGTGATTCTCCCCGTGAGCCGTCATCAGCTATTCAATAAGCACTGGACACAGCTCATAAGTACACTCCATTAATCCTTGTTTATTATAGCACCTGAATAATAAGTGAGAAGAAAATAGAAACTAGGACTAAAGCTATTATGACGTAACGCTGACTGAAGTTCTAAATAAACTGGAATAACCCACTATTAGATATCAAACCTGACGTCTCACTGCAAGAATTGATCTATAGTACGTCAGACTGACTGTTGTGAGCTTTTTGTCATGTTATAATGTTGTTTCCTGCGTTTCTTGTTTGAGAATATGAGCCCTCTTACTTAACTTAAAGTTTGTTTTCATGTCCTCTCTCGCAGGTATCTTGTACATAAACCCTGCAGACCTGGGCTGGAACCCTCCTGTGGCCAGCTGGATCGAGAAGAGGGAGATCCAGTCAGAGAAGGCCAATCTGAGCATTCTGTTCGACAACTACCTCCCCCCGTGTCTGGAGGCACAGCGGACAAAGTAAGCCCCCTGCCCTCAAAACTACTACACACACTGCATTTGGAAACAGTTTGAGATAGCTCTCATGGAACGGTAAAGCAGACCTATTCTGAAAAATGGACTTTGCAGAACTTTCAAACATGTTATAGTTCTTCTTGTCTCTCTGAAGTTGTATTTGAAGTGATTCGTGCATGTTTGAGCAATCGAATCACTTATTTTCAAGACTCCATATAGCTGATCAGTCCCCTTTTTTCACCAACACTGGTACAAACCCTAAACACAATGGATTCCAGGCACTCCAAAAAAGTCGAAAAAGTCAAAAATTGCATGAGGAAAAATATAGCTAAAAAGCCTTTATTTGAATGGCCAAAGCCAACGTGTTTCGACCTTAACTGGTCTTCATCAGGGCGTAATGGCCTTAGTGAAGACCAGTTAAGGTCGAAACATGTTGGCTTTGGCCGTTCAAATAAAGGCCTTTTACCTATATTATTCCTCATGTGATTTTTTTTACTTTTTCGACTTTATTGGAGTGCCTGGAATCCACTGTGTTTAAGTTTTGATCCTTTTTCCAAGAGCACCCTCTACCTGCTCCGACTGATTGGAACATCTGAAGCAAACAGCCACATTTTTGTTCTTTCTGCATTGGTGCAAACCCACTGTAACGTCTGCACTTCCTTAGGGTCCAGCAGCGTTACGCCATTTTGGTACAAATGAAAAAAAACAAAAAAACATCTGCTACTCATTGCTAGTGTGATGTGCAGCTATCAATAGGAGGTGCTCACAGCTTCACACTGCTTTGTTGTGATGACGTTTACAGTGACTAGGCATCACGGTTTTATAACATGGCACTCAGCGGACTTGTTTCTTTTATTATCGTATTTTTCAAACTATAAGATGCGCTTAAAGTCCTTTAATTTTCTCAAACATCGACAGTGCTCCTTATAATCTGGTGCACCTTATGTATTAATTCTGGTTGTGCTTCCTGACCTGGAACAGATTTTCTGTGATAAACTAAAAAAAATCTGTCAAAAACTAAACTACGTAAACTACGAAGCCGCTCCGCTTGATGGATTGTTGGAGCATTATGGTTACCGTAGTCAGGAGCCTCGTAGAGTAAATGAGTCATGTCTCGGTCTTGATGGTGCTTGGTCTTGGTCTTGTCTTGAATACGAGGTGCGATCATATTTCAGTAAATGTGCAGAGGCTGTTTAATATTGCGGTAAAACCTGTAAGAAAATGTAACTGTTATGAAAAATTAAAGCATGCTTTTTTTCATTCTAGATGCTTAGAATTATAGATATGTCTTCATCCTGTTACAGACCTAAGGAAATCTCCATACACTGCTCAATGTGTAAATGAGTCATGTCCTTTAATCTGACAGAAGCTGAACCGCATCAGCGCACAAGAAGAGAGCTGTTTTTTCAGTGCTTATAGTTTATGCAAATTAGTCATGTGGTTTTAAGTTTTAAGTAGAACGTAAACAAATGTGCAAAGCTGCATTAAGCACATTATTACTCAATGTATATTTGAGTCATCCTCATAGGAAATTTAAAAATAAAATAAATATTCATAATCCACATTCGCCAAGACAGGGAGGCAACACCGGGAGAGTTACGCCACGATCTGCCAGTGGATTGTAGACACCTGGGCTGAGGATCAGTCTTAAGTATTAAGACAAAGCACTTTACGTCAAGGAGCCACTCTCCCATTCACACTCACGTTCATACACCAATGTACGCAGACGCTGGGGTGAGGTGGGTTAAGTGTCTTGCCTAAGGACACAAAGGCAGTAATCGTGCATGGGAGTGGAGACTTGACCTGTTTTGTGTTGAGAGCAACCTTTGGATCAGAGGACAAATAGTGTCAAAATGCACCAGTTTTGATTTATGATTAATATTTCTTGGCAAAAGTTCATCTTTCTGTCAGGAATAAAATCAAAACTAAAACTAATGTGAAGTCTTCTTTGTTTATAGATAAATGTAGATACAAATTAGAGACAGACTGCTGATATTTGCACTTTTCTGCAAATCTGTTGTCAGCCTTCAATTTCCAGCACAGACTCATATTTTGCTTTGGTCAATCTGCTGCCTAAAAAATACACACAAAGCTTTATTTTAAATGGAAATAGATAACACCTCATAAAGTGACTACACAGTTCTGTTGAAGTTTTGTGATAAAAAGGGTCTGTAGGTGACTTTGTAATACATTAAAACTGCAAAAATAATCTAAATCTACCCTAAATATCGACTCCAAAATATCAGCAGATCTTATTGGCCACCATTGCTCTGGATTCTAAACAATCGTATCAGCCTTAGCCATATAAAAAAAACAAAAAAAGCAAATAATGGTAATATGATAAATGATAATCTCTAGACAGAATGCCAGACTGTTGGTAGTTTTCAGTTTCTAGAAAGAGATTGCTGATGATGTCAAACTCCCAGATGGGGGCAAGAGCCAGACGTCCCTGTGGTTATGTTGTACTTTGTCATGAAATATACAAAAGCTGAATGCACAAATGTTGAAAACTTCTATCAGTGACTAGAGCCAAGACTTCACTGTGTTCTAACAACAGTCTGCATTTGAACAATATTCATTTTAGTATTTTTCAAACTATAAGGCACACTTAAAATCCTTTAATGTTCTCAAAAATCGATAGTGCACCTTATAATCTGGTGTGCCTTATGTATTAATTCTGGTTGTGCTTACTGACCTCGAAGTGATTTTATGTGGTACACGGCGCTCAGAAATCTGTCAAAATGTTTTAGTACGACTTTGGTAAACTATGAGGCCGCACCGCTTCATGGATTGTCGGAGCATTACAGCTGCTGTAGTCAGGAGCCTCATGGAGTAAAGGGCGAAGTGTAGTTCTGCGTCGACTCAACACACACTGCCACCATCGCCTTGTTGCTGTTGTCACAGAAAGAACACACATATTCCACTGAGTCGTGTCCTTTAGTCCGACAGAAACTGACCACATCAGAGCACAACGGGCGAGCTGTTTTTTTTTATGTAAAACGTAAACAAATGTGCACAAAGCTACATTAAACACATTATTACTCAATGTATATTTGAGTCGTCCTTGTAGGAAATAAAAAATCTAAATTTAAATGATCCACGCACATTCATATTCATAATCCACGTTCACCAAGACAGGGAGGCAACGCCGGGTGAATTACACCATGATCTGCCAGTGGATCGTGGACGCCTGGACTACGGATCAGTCTTAAGTGTTGTCCGTTTGTTCTGATTGATGCGCATTATAATCCAGTGCACCTTATGTATGAAAAGAGACGAGAGAATTCAACATTATTGATATTGTGCCTTATAATCCAGTGCATTTTATAGTTTGAAACGTACGATACACAAAATTGACTTTAAGCCATGTTAGAATGTTGTCACTTCCTCATAAACAGACCTGGAATTGTGTTTTGTTTCATTCACACATTTGAGTAACTCTTTAGTTTTTTTAAAGTTTTTTTTTCTTTTGTGAAAGTGTGTGGAGTGTAAAAACACAGTGGAGCTGCATTACCACATGACATCACAAGGTTGTTTTGTTTTGTTTTTTTTCTGTTTGAGAGAATATCTCAATGACTCTGGGCCCGGTCAAGCAGAAGTAAACAGCAAGGCCAAAAATTCAAGTTAATGCATCTGATATAAAACTGTATTGAACAGATACATATGTACTCTAGTTTATGAAACTGTTGACCTTTTTTCTGTACCATTTTTGGTTCTAAAGTTCCATACGTTTTAAACAGACCATGTATGAAACATGGAACAAAAATTATTTCCCAAATTTTAAAAGACCTGCAAATCATGTAAATAAATGGATGTATTTCATCATATCTTGTGTTATTCCATCTTTGAACTGTTGATGAAGGGACATGATTAAAAAAAAAAAAAAAGTATTTAAAATGATAAAAATTTGCTTGGAAGGACTGACATATTTTATAGACATAATTTCCTTTTGAAGTTTTCCTTTTGAAGTAATATTAAAGTATTTGGAAGAAAAAAGCTGACAAATGATGTAAAATCCTGCACCTTCTACTTGTTTGCACAGTTTTCCCTCCGTTACTTTTCCCTCCGTTACCATGACCTTTCTTAATAAAAAATCTCATTACTCAAAAAGTAAGAGGTTTTTCAACCTAATCTTGTACCATATGGTAGAAAACTATATGAAGCAAATATTCAAACCAGTTTGTTAAGGATATGTAAGTGAGAACCAAGAGTTATCACTGTTTGTATTTATTGCCCAAAAAGTGCTGCATATTTCATTCCCTCCGTTACCGACATGAGTTTTTACATTTTTTGTCAACAACTTGAAAGAATATCACAGGTTTAACTTGACCCTGTTGGAGTGTTAACTCTTTCCTACATTCTGATACTTTACTTATTTCAATAGTTCCTCTAGTTTCTGAATAAGAGACATTTGAATGTCAAAAATCTGCCCCTGTTTCCCTCCGTTACCACTTGACCTGACCCTTCTATAACCTAAATATGCAGGATTTGTGTGTTAAACATGTGTGAGTGAAACAAAACACAACTCCAGGTCTGTGTGTGATGAAGAAACTACATTTTTACATGAATCAGAAAATGCCTTAATTTGAGCCTTATATAATGTGTATATAATGTGATGTGATGTGAACTCCGGCTCTAACTCTCCAGACTGTTATAATGAGTTTGGGAGTTGCTTTGTTGTGTGCAGGTTTAAGCGGATGATCCCGGTCCCGGAGCAGAGCCAGGTGCAGATGCTGTGTTACCTGCTGGAGTGTTTACTGACCCCAGAGCACACCCCTGCGGACAGCCCCAAAGAGCTGTACGAGCTCTACTTTGTGTTTGCCGCCGTCTGGGCTTTTGGAGGGGCTCTGTTCCATGACCAGGTACGATCAGGGTCACTGCCAGCGGCGCTCTGCAGTCTCCAGCTGATCCACACTTATTTTAGGAGGGGTACTATGCAAAATCCACTTTTTGGAGCCTTCTGCCATGTTAGAATGTTTTCAGGTATGTTTTTGATGAGGTAACCAGGGGTGTAGTCGGATTTTTTTATGTGGGGGTATGTGCTTTGTGACGTCTTCGATGTGACCACCTCCCCCGCAAACAAACATAAAGACGCCAGCCCAGTAAAAATCATTAATATTTGATTTTTTTTACACAAAATGATGTGAAATCATGTTATCAACATTAATGCCATTTATAATCACCTACAGAACATAAAGCACAGACTACAACACATGAACCAGGACTAAACCAGGACTACACCAGGACTAAACTAGGACTACACCAGGACTAAACCAGGACTACACACCAGGACTAAACCAGGAATACACCAGGACTACACCAGGACTAAACCAGGACTAAACCAGGACTAAATCAGGAATACACCAGGACTACACCAGGACTAAACCAGGACTAAACCAGGACTAAACCAGGACTACACCAGGACTACACCAGGTCTAAATCAAGATTAAACCAGGACTAAACCAGGACTACACCAGGACTAAACCAGGACTACACACCAGGACTAAACCAGGAATACACCAGGACTACACCAGGACTAAACCAGGACTAAACCAGGACTAAATCAGGAATACACCAGGACTACACCAGGACTAAACCAGGACTAAACCAGGACTAAATCAGGAATACACCAGGACTACACCAGGACTAAACCAGGACTAAACCAGGACTAAACCAGGACTACACCAGGACTAAACCAGGACTACACCAGGACTACACCAGGTCTAAATCAAGATTAAACCAGGACTAAACCAGGACTACACCAGGACTAAATCAGGACTAAACCAGGACTACACCAGGACTAAATCAGGACTAAACCAGGACTACACCAGGTCTAAACCAGGACTAAATCAGGACTACACCAGGACTACACCAGGACTAAACCAGGACTAAACCAGGATTACACCAGGACTAAACCAGGACTACACCAGGTCTAAATCAAGATTAAACCAGGACTAAACCAGGACTACACCAGGACTAAATCAGGACTACACCAGGACTAAATACACCAGGACTAAACCAGGACTACACCAGGACTAAACCAGGACTACACCAGGTCTAAATCAAGATTAAACCAGGACTAAACCAGGACTCAACCAGGACTACACCAGGACTAAATCAGGTCTAAACCAGGACTAATCTTGTACTTGAGAGCGAGAGAGAGAACCCAGAGCCTGTGGAGCAGGGTGTCTGCAAAGTGCAATCACACGACTGCTGCACTTAGCCTTGTGTGGTGTGGAGCTCTGCGCCGGTCCTTGCACCTGTGGTCACCCGACTGTCTACGTGGGCGCACCTCCGGTCCCGTACCAACACTCAGTCCTGGTTCAGTCCTGGTTCAGTCCTGATTGTATCCTGGTTCAATCCTGGTTCAGTCCTGATAATGTCCTGGTTCAATCCTGGTTTAAGTTGTAGCTATTTTATATTTGTAATTTTTTTTATATCTCACGTCGGGAGAAGTGGGTGGACGGCGTACCCCCGTGTACCACGCCCACTACAGCCCTGGAGGTACAGCATTATAACATGGCTTAAAGCTCACATGAATCCATTTTGTATAATATTAGACCTTTAAAATAGAGCTGCAGGGGAGTTTGGAATTATATGGTTGAATTTGCCTTTTAATAAGGTTAAATGCAAAACTTTTATTTCAGATTTTCTGGCTTTAAGGCTTTAGACAGGACTGCTGTCGATGATAGTGGGGACAGAGACCCCACGACAGTGAGGCGAGATCAACCACACATGTGTAACCTTAAACCAGACACACCCATGGGACTGTTCAGTGATCATGTCATAACTGTACTTTGTACTCTCCAGCCTCATTCACTGTGATCACATCTGAACAGACTTTAACCTTTGGACAATACAGCACCTTCCGAGTAGTGTTGTCACAATATATACATTTAAAACTCTCTATAGTGGTGCATGTGTGTATACTAGTGTATGTGTATGAGCTCAACATCTTTCTAAAAACATTCAGGAAAGGTTCATTTCTGTCCTCTGAATGTTTCAATCAATACTTTCTCAAAAGAGTATCTCAAAATCAGACTGTGTTTGCCGTGATCTAATTTTGAAAAGACTAGTTTTAGGATCTATTAGAATCTTATTTTTGATACTTTTAACAGCCTTATAAATGATCCTTAAACCATGTTCAAATGCATCATTCTTTGGAACAACGTACAGATCATTTTATTGAATCCTTGCCAGTTTAAAAGTGTCATTTTCTACTTGAGCTCTTTAAGCCATGTTATGTTGTTTTAAGGTGGTTGAATCTTGTAGTTCAGCCCCTTTATCAGCTCACACTAGTGTTATGAATATTGTGTGTCTGTGTCTATGATTCCGTCTCTAGTGGCTCTTGTGTAATAATGTGCTATTTATAAACAGAATATAAGATTTATTTGGGGTTGAAGTAATGGTAAGGAAAAGGTTTTTCAAAATGGAGATATTCATCTGAAAATGAAGTGGACTTGATTCCCGGCCGACAGCACACAGCTCAGTGAATGTAAATCAGCGGGAGCCTGTGGCCGACAGTTGCTAAGCAATCCAGTTAGAGGTGTACTGTAGTGTGCCTGTGCGACGTATGGGATAAAACCACTCTCCTGCGCCACAAACGCTCTCCACTTTATTTTCCCATCACAGATACATTTAAATGCTAAGTGCTTTTATTGAGTGGAGAGTGGTGCTGAGTGGAGGAGACAGGTAGCTGTGGGTGCTCCAGGTGAGAGATAGACCTGCCATCTCTCATCTGGTCCCCCTGAGCTGCTGCCAACACGTGTGCCCGCTGCAGAGGGCGGGACCACACGCCATCGCCATAAGACACCAGATCAGGTCCACAAGAACAAGACGAGAACGAGATCAGATCTTCAAATGATTTATAATAAAATCATTGTGTGATCCCCTGCGACGTTTTGGCCTTTCATATTTGTGAATTGATGTAAACTAAATGGAAAAAGATCAGGAGAGATTTATGTCAGTTTTATGCCGTGAGATCTTGTGACTATGCTCCACCGTTTACACCACCAGTCAAATGTTTGGACACACTTTTACATTTATGTTTCTTCATGGAAATACAGGATTATTTACACTGTAGATTCTCACTGAAGCATTACGACTATGAATGACACAAATGGAATATATCATAGTAACTAGGGATGTCCCGATCACATTTTTTGCCCCCAAGTCCGAGTCTTTTGATTTTGAGTATCTGCCGATACCAAGTCCCGATCCAATACTTCTATAAAAATTATTAAATGAATTAAGAGCAAAGAATAAGATCCAGGATGTTTGGGGGGGATCAGATTATGTTGATTTCAACATGTAGTATTTGGGCTAAACTTGAAAAACCAACTGTCGAAAATTTTCTAACCATGAACCATCTTGACTTTTCACAGTTTGGTCTTGGAATGTGTAACATAGTAAACTTAATGAACTGGACAAAACAGGAACCAGACCAGAATCAGATCAGACCTGAGACTCGACTCTGCACAGTTTACACTTTGTATATTTGATATTGTATGTTTGCATGTGCATTATATTTTAAACATTTAGGCTCGTTTATGATATTCAAATAATACAAAATCTTACCAAATAAAAATGACAGAAGCCCCACAGCCTCTCTCCCCCGCACCACCACCACATCCACAAACCCACAGCAGAGCGCACCGCAACATTGGTCCCCACCGCTCAATAGACGCTCCATGCCGCTGTTCCCACCCTTCCCGCCAAAAACTCCAACTCCTTTGTGCATCATACAAACAAACAGCACCGTGCGACGACGCCATCGGCCGCACAGGTGTGAAGACGGTTATATATGTATATTATTTATCCGATACCTGATCGGCACATTAACATCCGAGTCCAGATCGAGTCCGCAGTCACGTAATCGGTGCCGATTTCTGATCATGTGATTGGATCGGGACAACCCTAATAGTAACAATATAGTAACAGAAATCATCTCAAAATAGCTTCAAACTGCATCTGTAACTTTATTTGTAACGCACTTTAAAAACAACATAGGTTGACCAAAGTGCTACAGAACATAACTGAATAAGAAACAATTAAAAACAATAAAACAACATATGAATAAAAACAGAACCTAATAAAAACAGCTTATTATTAGTATACTATTATTAGCTCCAAACGTGTTTTAAAAATAGCCTTTACCTTTACTTTGATCACTGCTTTACACTTTTGGCATTTCTTGACCCTGACTTGGTTCAACTGTGAAGTGAAAACTATTTCAGGAGACTTCATCATGAAGCTCAGTGAGAGAAGGCCAAAGGTTTGCAGTCAATATCCTACATAATTCCATATGTCTTACATCATATGTTTGATGTAGAAAGTAGTAAACATTGGATGAGAGGGTGTGTCCACATGTTTGACTGCTGCTGTGTTTGCCCATCATCAAAGCCCAGATCCATAACTGTGAGCAGAAGAGTCTGTGGTCATGTCCTATTGACCACTCTCTTCTGTGTGCTCTGTGTGTGTGTGTGTGCTCTGTGTGTGTGTGTGCTCTGTGTGTGTGTGTGTGCTCTGTGTGTGTGTGTGTGTGTGTGTGCTCTGTGTGTGTGTGTGTGCTCTGTGTGTGTGTGTGCTGTGTGTGTGTGTGCTCTATGTGTGTGTGTGTGTGCTGTGTGTGTGTGTGTGTGTGTGTGTGTGTGTGTGTGCTGTGTGTGTGTGTGCTCTGTGTGTGTGTGCTCTGTGTGTGTGTGTGCTCTGTGTGTGTGTGTGTGCTCTGTGTGTGCATGTGCTCTGTGTGTGTGTGTGTGTGTGTGCAGCTCGTGGACTACAGAGTGGAGTTCAGCCAGTGGTGGGTGGCTCAGTTCAAAAACGTCAAGTTCCCGTCTCACGGCACCGTGTTCGATTACTACATCCACCCCGAGAGCAACAAGTTTGAACCCTGGTCCAAGATGGTGCCCAAGTTTGAAATGGACCCGGAAATGCCCCTGCAGGTAAATCAGACACCAGAACACATTCTGAAGCACGATATATCACTCCAGACGAATATAACAAGAATACTGAAACTACTTAAAGGTGGAGGGTCCATGGCAAGTCATTTTAACATTTAAACGCTAAAGTCTGACTATCCGGAATTAACGTTCGAGATATCAACAACGTCTTTCTGACTAGGCATAATTTCATTTTGGATAGCGGGACTTGTCATTTGAGAGATCTGTAATGTAATTTTGACTAGACAAAAGGACAGTTACAGATATCTACAGTTCAGATTTGACTAGGCAAAACAGAATGACAGATATCTGCAATTACATCACTGAAAATGACATTCAACTCGTCACACATCATAAATGACAGTTGCAGTTTTGACTAGGCAGAAAGTTAAAGATATCTCAAACGTCATTATGACATCATAACACAGAAGCACCAAATTGTCTCGGGCTACTAGCAGTGCACATTCTGTCCAAAAATTCATTTATCTCTAAGGCATAACAACTGTCTGTGCTAAAATTAGCTTTTGTCTTTAATATCATTTTCAACAAACTTTTCACTAGAGTCCATTAAGAAAAAGACAGTAAGATGCATTTTGGCAATCTCACTGATAAATTAACTTTCCGTTAACAGCTACAGGTGCCACGTGGAAATGCTCCGCTCCCGCCTAAAGAGGGATCATTTGCATATAGATCTCTGTAACATCATTTTGCCTCTTCAAAACTCCAATTCAAGAAATCTCTAATTATATTTTGATTAGGCACAATGAAATTTACGGATATCTCCAATTTCAGATATCTCTAATCAAAATTCATTACAAGATATCTAAAAGTTGGTATAAGAGATATCTACAACTAAATTATGACCAGTTTGAGATATCTGCAACATCATTTGGCCTAGTCAAAACTTAATTTAAGATATCTGAAAAGGAGCATGTAGATATCTTCAATTGAGGTGAATTAAATATATCTTGAACTTAAAGGTTGTATAGAGGATTTTCCAAGGAACGAGAAATCCAGCGACGGTTTGTCATTTTTCAAATGTTGCGCTGGTTTTCTTCTTTCAGCAACCTCAAAAATGGACTTTCTTTTGTGGTTAACTGCTTGTAGATTCTTGTCGCCATTGCAACAGACTTTGTGCTAACTGCGAGGAAGATATAGGTCAAAAAAGCTGCTAAGAACTGTTGTGTTGGTGGAGTAAACAGCATCTGTGCGTCTTGCGTCTGTGGACTGCGTGACAGGCGTACGTAAACCACGTAATGGCAGCGCGCAGGCAAGTCAGTTACACTAGAAACTTAGGGAGTTTGATTGACAGCCTGTCAGCTAACAGATAACGAGGCAGTCTCCTTATCTAATAGCAAATGTTTAGCCCCACCACGTCCAGAGTTGATGAATTTTTATTCTCTTTTTTTTGGTCATAATAATTACAAGGCTACTGCACCTCTATAATCTATCATTGACAATTTGAAACAAAAAAAATCCTCCATACAACCGTTAAGTTAGGACTAGTCAGAATCAAAATGTAGATAACTCAAACCGGAATTACAGATATGTATAATCCAGTTGCAGATATCTGTAACTTACGATGTGGATATTCATAACTGAATTGTATATATTCATAATTCTGAAACCTATACATATGAATGGCAAAGGTGATGTCATTTGTCCTGGGAAGAATGTCGTTGTGGATATCTAAAATGTCAGTTACAGATAGGAAGAATAACTTTGTGGATATCTGAAATTTTCTTTTTGACTACAAAACTAAGTTGGAGATACCTGTAATACATATCCAGTTTAGTGTTTAAGTGTTAAAACAGCTTGCCATAGAGCGTCCGTCAAATGCTTTTCTCCATGAAGATGTTATTGCTTTATCTGGAATGTTATACAGTATGGCATTAAACCTTTCTATCTTCATGAAAACCATACTAGACCAAGTTACAGGTCAGATCTGTGGAGAGGCGACCCCACTCACAGTCAGAATGCCTGTTTCTCTGAGTATTTTTGAGCTATAAAACCACCTGTAATTGAATAAATGTAAAGCAGAGATGTTTAAAGTCACACTGTGGAACATTCCAGGCAGAGCAATGACATCTCCATAGTAACAAGCAGGTGATGGACCCCAAACCAAGAAGTTAAATAGTGAATGATTTAATCCCACTGACACATGAACAATAAAGCAGGATTTTCCCAGTGAAGCGTTTTTAAATACAGTATCATTAAAAGGCCTGAGTGGCAACAAATAAACTGCAGAATGAAGCAATAATTAGCAATCGAAGTGACTCATTCTACCCTCTACTGCTCTAATTTTATCGTATTACACCAGAAATAAAAAGAAAATATGCACACCATTAGAGACAGACCACTGATATTTGCCCTTTTTATCGTAGCAGCTATCAGCCTTAAATCTCCAGCACAAACAGCGCCTAAATGTGCTTTAAAAATGTATGCATAAAGCTTTATTTGAACACTTAAGTCCAAAGAGGGTACTGCAAACATGTCACTCCTCTGCTCCACACAGTCTGCACTAAAACAAGGTTATGGATGAGTTTATACTACATTCTAATTACACATCTTGAGGGAAATACACTGTTCCAGGTTTCATATGTTGAGTAATGGGAACAGTGATTATAGAGGCTTTGCACCGTCACGTGACCCCTATAGCAGCGGTACCTACGCCGCCATGACAGCGGGCACACTATGTCATTGCCTTCAGCAGCATCGGAGAAACATGGGCAGGTTTTGTTGTGTATTTGGTTGTTCTAGACGCTCTGAAAGGGATAAAACAATTCGTTTCTTCACTGTTCCTCTGGAAATGACTCATCAGGAGCTCAAACAAGGGAATTATCGAAAAAAAAAACGGGAACATAAACTGCAAAGAGATTTCCAATAGTCCCATCAAGACACACTCACGTTACTTTCATCAAGGTATTTGCTATTTAAATAGTTTCATAGTTTATTTAATGAGAGAAGCACATTTACTGAACTAAAATTTAAAAAGAAAACATTTGCAGTGTGAGTGGCAGTAGAAACTGTATTTTCCAACGCACATATAAACATGTCACTTGTCGTAGGATCCATGTTTTCTTTATTGCCTCACTTATCCACAACTATGTCTTCTAGAATTAATTGCTTTTTGCGAGCGGATCTTTCTAACGTTCGTGAGGATCTTTTCATGGCTGATTCTTTCGAGGTTCGGCTCACAGACTCTTCGACTCGTGCGTTATGTTGATCACAGGAGCCCAGTGTGGATTCGTAAACTAGTGCGGGTTTTCCTCGATAAATTGATGAAATTTTTGTTCAGTAAATGTGCTTCTTTCATTAAATAAGCTATGAAACAATTTAAATAGCAAATACCTTGATGAAACTTCAGGTGTCTTGATGGTACCATTGGAAATCTCTTCGTGGTTTATTTTTGCTAGCTATAATCCGTGTCTTTTTTTCGATAATTCCCTTGTTTGAGCTCCTGATGAGTCATTTCCAGAGGAATAGTGAAGAAATGATTCGTTTTACCCCTTTCATTGTGTCTAGAACAACCAAATACACAACAAAACCTGCCTATGTTTCTCCGATGCTGCTGAAGTCAATGACATAGTGTGCCCGGTGTCATGGTGGCGTAGGTACCGCTGCTATAGGGGTCATGTGATGGTGCAAAGCCTCTATTGTGGATGTACACACTGGACTCTTTCTATGACATGGCCATAACACACAGGTACACAGTACTGCATAAGGACTGCATCACATCACTACTTTCATTACACTCCCAGTCAAATGTTTGAACTTACTTTATATATATATATATAATATATATATATATATATATATATATATATATATATATATATATATATATATTATATATATATATTTTTTTTATATTTAAATTTTATATTATATTTTTTGTTTTTATTTATTTATTTATTTATTTAATCTTTTCTATTTTATTTGTATGTTATTTATTTATTTATTTATTTTATTTTTTATTTAATTTATTTTTCTTCTCTATTTCCAAGATTATTTACATTTTAGAATCTCACTGAAGCCATCACCAACTAAGAATGACACACAGAATGTAATAAACACTATTTTAACTCAAAATAACCCATAACGTGCTTAATATATGTGTAAAAAAAAATGCTTTGAACCCTGTTTTGCACTTCTTGCATTTCTTGACCCTGACATGGCTCACACTGAAGTAAAAACCATTTCAGGAGACTTCATCATGCAGCTCATTGAGAGAAGGTCACCGATGTCAACAAGTTATTTCACTTTTTCCTTTGCTACATAATTCCATGTATGTTACACCGTTTATTCGATGTTTTATGGATGTACAATGGAGAAAGTATCTGAGAGTGAGAGTGTTTCTTAGAGATATTACGTGATCATCTACTAGTGACCCTTTTGTCAGAGCACAGTATGCAGTTGTAAACATGATGACATATATTTTATTTTCATCTACATAAAATAAGACAATCCCTGTCAGCATGAACAGGGTGAGAGAATTGTATTTATAGATCATTATAGTACAGACTACTATCTGATCAAGTTTATTACATCGGTTTATTACATCATCATACTTTGAAATAATAAAAGGACGTGTATGTTTCTTATTATTGAGGTTGTTTATTGTATCAGGGACATTATTATGTAATGTCAGTATTATGTAGAAATCTAAATCCTTATTATGAGCTTTTAATGATTCCACACGGTGTTCTCTCATCATCAGCCAATAAGGTTGAAGTGATCAGAGCCAGTGATTGGAGCAAATACTTCACACTGATTGGTTGAAGCATCACAACAGTGGAACACACCACTGTGCACAAACGCACAAAGCGCTTCCCTCTGCATGTTTCTCAAAAGAAAATAATCCTTATTGATGCTAAAGTAGAGCAAAGTACATTTGTTGGCGTCACCATGTTTGTTTTAGTTGGTTTGGCTCTGGCTTCCACCCAAACCACAACACTGCCCTGTGATTGGTCAGTCTTTGCACCACTGGTGGTGTGGGTCCTATCACACACCAACACTCCAATCAGAGTCTGGACACAAGATGGACTCTCAAGAGTTTGTAAACTCACAAAAATTGTGAGTATTCCTACGTACATGTAGTAAATATCACATAAATAGCTCTTTATGAATGATCTACATATTTTTTACCCTAAATACTAAATACACCCAAGTACCTGAATAATATGTGTGTGAGTGTGACTTGTTGATTTGATCCTTCAGATGTTCACAATCAGAATCCAGAGTAAACTGCTGCTTGCTAACCTGAGGCCCTGCCCTGTCCTGTCTGTTCTCTTTCAGGCTTGTCTGGTTCACACCACAGAGACCATCCGTGTGCGCTTCTTCCTGGACCGGCTGCTGGAGCTCCGCAGGCCGGTGATGCTGGTGGGGAACGCTGGCACAGGGAAGTCTGTTCTGGTGGGAGACAAACTGGTCTCTTTAGACACAGACAAATACATGATCAAAAATGTGCCCTTTAACTACTACACCAACTCCTCCATGCTGCAAGGTGAGCACACACGGGACTCACTTACAGACCGAGAATAAGTTAGATGTTGGTAGCAGTTGCCATAGCGATTAAAAAATTTAAACAAAATATTATGTGACTTGAATAGAAAAAAATCTGCATTAACTGTGTTTTCACTCATATGTGCATATTTCCAAAATCTACATAAAAAAGCATAGCAAGTACAACTTTATCCCTTTTATACCTGGCTGGTGTTTACCTGGTTACGGGAGCTGCCCGTCGGCTCTGTGTAGTGACACCACTAATCCTGCAGAGGGCACATTGCACAGTTTGTTTGGTTACATGGTTACAACATGACAGAATTATTTTGCGTTGTCCATCACCTGGAATCAAATTCCAGCTGAAGCAGTGATTAAACTTTTATGTGAATGAAAGGTTCTCGTGTGACATGTGTGTTTCCACCTGCTGTTACTTATGTCAGTCTTCAACATGTGCATTCAAAACAAAATGATGGAAACACAGCAGTGTTGCATGTGACAAGAAGATGAATGCACACTTTTTTATGGAACTAATCCAATTTGTCATCCACAAATGATGAACAGATTTGCTCCACAAATGTGCCATAATCATCTTATGGTATTAAGTCCATTTCTGAATCTAGTGTGAAAAACATGTTTGTTTATTTATGCTTTAATCACAGGTATAAAATGACCATTATTCCATTGATATCATCTACTCTTATCATGAACTGTATGACTTTAGGTATAGGGGGAGCTGTCCACATGAGCCACAGCTGTTTGAAGTCAAAGGGACCATTATCATAATAACATTAAAGAAATAGGAGAAAAAAAGTGCCAATGTACTGAGTGTTTAGACAGAAGCATTGCTCTCTCTTCTTCATAGTTTCCATAAGAAGACTGTGTAAAACCTTCTATACAGAGGCTCTTTTCATTATGCACATAATCCTCCAGCTACTGTTTATATGCATTTATGTTCTCTCCATCCTGGAGGTCAAAGGTCTCTCCTCTTGCATTCACTCTGAAGTAAAACTAAAACAGCTCAGGACTGCTGGGCCTGTCCATTAGTTTATTTGTTCTCTGATGCTAATTTGGTGCTCACAATAGAAAGAATGTTAAAATCAAATCTATTCTGTAATATGGACTTTTCAGAACTTTTAACCATTGGAGAGCTGTTTCCTCCTCACTGACCTTCTCAAGTTCTATTTGGAGTGATTCGTGCATGTTTGACAAATCATGAATCATTTACGTTCAGTATGTCATTTTGCCAATCAAAATGAGTATTCAGCAGTGTCGCGCAGTCATTTTGGTGCAACACCTGCAGCTCACCAGTGTGACGTGCACCTATCCACAGGGGGACCAACTCTTTGATGATGCTTCTGGCGATGTCACCTTCTTCTGCTCATGTCCCACTCATGTAGTCATTTAGATAAATACTGTATTTATCATTTAAATAAATACTGTGATTTAACATTTTAAACCTTAATGATCCACATGTGTCTGAGATTATGAGCATATCAGACACAAACACTATAGGCCTTCTTTAAAAGCAATACTGTGCAACTTTCTGGAAGTGGCACCTGCATGATTCCAGGGAAATACATAAGTTTTATGTCATACTTTGGAATATTACAGCCAAATGAACATTTCCAGGGAAACAAGAAGGAGGCGGCTATCCTCCAAGCCAAATTAGAGTCAGTTGTGTAGAGAAACAATGCTTGGTTTAATTATACTGTTTTTTAAGATAAACGTTACACAATGGGGCTTTAGTTTGGATGTCGAATTGTATTTTTTTTTCACTATATTCTAACTCCTGCAACACTCTGATTTGTTATGTTTACTCATCAAAATGGCACCTGAAGTTCTGTTTTGTTTAATTGACACAGACATGTATTTAACACACAAACCCTGAATATTTCGGCAGAGTTCTTCTCTCAAACAGAGAACACTCGGCTGGAGCACATCTGAGGATGTGAGTACATGTGTCACGTGTCTGTGTCTCTACAGCGGTGCTGGAAAAGCCTCTGGAGAAGAAGGCCGGCCGTAACTTTGGTCCACCTGGGAGCAGGAGGCTGGTGTACTTCATCGATGATCTGAACATGCCTGAGGTGGACTCGTATGGAACAGTGCAGCCCCACACCCTCCTACGCCAGCACCTGGACTACAACCACTGGTACAGCACAGCGTCTCTTTCACAGTTTTGATTTCATGCATTTATTTGAAGGTCTTATGTTACGCAAAACTGACTCTTGTGAGCTTTCAATCATGTTAAAATGTTGTTCACTCCTCAAAAACAGACCTGGACCTGTGTCTTGTTTCATTCACCCATGTTTGAGTAACTCTTTATTATTGGTCTACTTATTCAATTCTCAAAATGCTCTGTTCTGTTCTTGTGATGTTGTGTAGTGGTAATTTTCAAGTGCACAGCTCCTTTTTACCTTTTGTTCAGTAGAGATTAGCAATTCCAAGGCTGAAATGATCCAAATGAATCTTAATGAAGAGGTATGGCCTTTAAAAATCACATCACATGCAGAGTTAGAGAGAAGAACTCAGCCTAAATCTTTTGGTAATTATAAAAGAAATTCAGAACTTTCAATCCAGGTTGATGGGGTTAAAATCGAGTTTGTTTCTGAAAATACATTTTTAGGTTTAACGATATGTGAAAAACTAAGCTGGAAACCACACATCAGATACATACAATCTAAGGTCTCAAAAAGTATTGAAGTAATCAACAAAGGGAGACACATTCTTGATCAAAAGGCTCTTTACATATTGTATTGCTCTCTCATACTTCCATACCTGACATACTGTATTGAAATTTGAGGCAACAACTACTAAACATTACTTCTTCCCCTTTTCAAATTGCAAAAACGTGCTGTGGATCATACAAACGGTTTGTTTTTCAAATCAAAATTATTAAAATTTTTTGACTTAGTGAAATTCTACACTGCTTTGCTTTTGTATAATGCAAACAAAAATAAGCTGCCGTTAAATCTCTAAAAACAGTTCAGTACACAAGAAGTACATTATGAATTAAGGGGAAGGGGTCAATTTAAAACAAAATCAGTGAGAAGCACCAGGAAAAGCATGTGTGTATCTGTGTGTATGTGTGTGTGTATCTGTGTGTATGTGTGTGTATGTGTGTGTATCTGTGTGTATGTGTGTGTATCTGTGTGTATGTGTGTGTATCTGTGTGTATGTGTGTGTATCTGTGTGTATGTGTGTGTATGTGTGTGTATCTGTGTGTATGTGTGTGTATCTGTGTGTGTGGATCTGTGTGTGGGGTCAGTCTGTGGAATGGGTTGGGAGAAAACTTGAAGCAGTGCCCAAATATTCACAGCTTCAAAAGGAATTATAAAGAATTTTTGCTTTCGTGGTATAAGGTTGAGTGACAGCACTGGGTGATCTAAAAAAAATAAATAAATAAATGTATGTGTGTGTATATATATATATATATATATATATATATATATATATATATATATATATATATATATATATATATATATATATATGTGTGTACAGTACAAAATGGAAAAAATAAATACATTTTTGGGGTTAAAATTATATCTTGTATACATAATATGTAATTTTTGAAACTACATCATGAAGAGGGGTGGGTTAATATAAGTTTTTCTTCTTCCCACTCCTTTTCGAGAAATGTGCTTTTCTTTTGTTTACAGTGTGTATGTAGTATATATGATTATTGTTTCTTTCTTGGCACAAACTTGAAATAAAAACAAATCAATCAATCAATAAATAAATATTCAGGGTTTGTGCATTAAACATGTGTGAATGAAACAAAACACAACTCCAGGTCTGTTTGTGAGAAAATAAGATTACAACATAGATCAGAAAATAGCGTAATATGAGCCCGTCAAAACAAGAAGTGCACTCAGAACATTGATCTTAAAGTGAAAAGAGGCTCAGCTTTAGCTCCAAACTCCTCTCCATCTCACCAACAGCAAACAATCCAATTCATCATAAAATATTTAAAACTAAATTCACTCATAAGTACAAAGTTTCGAATTTGTAATTATCTTCTAAAATATTAAAAATCCAACTCATTGTTCTCAGTATCCTCTAAAATGTACAATTATCAAAGTCATCAGTGTTATTATCGTCTCAATCCATCAGCGACATCACCATTAAGACAAAGTTCATTAGTAAAACCCAACACATCTGCATCTGCAAAACACATCTACAGCACAATCACTCACAACCTTTCAGAGATTTTATAACCTTCAGTTTTGCTTTTGATGCTCTGAGTCTCCCCACGTTAAGTCACTCCCCCTTCAGAGCGCGATCACAACACAATCATCCCGTTCATGAAACTACTGCACCTCACGTCAGGTTTGTGAGGTTGCTGTGTACAATTTTATATTATGTTTTGGTATATTTAACGAGAGTTGTAAATAGGGCTTGGGAGAGATCACTAGATTATTCAAACGTGCATGGATGGGATCTCTTCAGGCAGGTTTATGAGGAGAGAACAATTATTACACGGTAGAAAGCTCCACAAATAAATGACGCATAATAGGCCCTCTTAAACCTAAACACAGTGTACTTATTTGTTTGTATAAAGCACATTTGGCTGTAATCAGTGATCCCCAACCTCCCTGATGAGTAAAGTCTAAAAGTTTTACAAAAATGGCAGCTGTTCAAAACTGAATAATGATAAAACTACACTTTGACACTTTGAAAACAGCATGTTGCAGTGTAGGTAATTGGTATTGTGTGCACATACTGGGCTCTATAGTAGGAGTTCATACACAATTTTTGTATGATGTGTGCATTTGTGAGCACTTGTACCACTGTCGCGGGAGGAAACACACCGTGTAGGTGGGATGAATGTGACCTGGTCATTCAGACTGAAGTCGCATGTCAAAAGATCGGAAATGTATCGGATTTAGGAGCACATATCCAAGTGGCCTGGGTCACATTTGAAAAAAATCTGATCTGTGTGGTTCAGACTGTCATTAAAAGATCAGATACAGGAGCATAGGGGCCAAAAAAATCTGATTTGGGTCACTTCAAGCTGCAGTGTGAACGTAGCCTAAGGAGCAGTTATAGGCTGCGTTCACACTGCAGGGCTTAATGCTCAGTTCTGTTTTTTTTTTTTTTTTTTGTGAAATCCAATGTTTTTTGTGAGGTGGTTCACATTTCCAGTTAAATGTGACTTGTATGTGATCTCCAGTGTGAACTTTAAACACCTCAAAAGTGTCCTGCATGTGCACTGGAGACACGATGACGTCACACGCAGCAAGTGAGCTCAGTGTTTACAGAAGTTGCCTAAACGCTGGGCTTGTCTCCCAAAATATGGTCCAGTTCTTCTTAAAATGGACAGGTTACACATCCAGGGCCACTTAATTAGTTTGAGTCTTTAGCCTCATTGTATTTGGCTCACAGACTCTGAATATTTCATTGACATTGCAGCCAGGACTGTCTGCACCCGCACTCGGACATTTCTTTGGCAATCATTTCAGAAACCACCCAGTTCCGATAAGACTCCTCCAATTTGGCCTGAATACAGCGATCCCTCCTAAATATGAATTAACTTGTTAACCTCACTTTCCCTCCATTGATGAGACTCAGAGCCTTCAGAACCTTCAGAGCCTGAAAATTCTCTTGCGTTGTCGTCCGCCGTGGTTGTAGCTTTCTAACAGTTTCCGCCTACTTCAGTGCAGAATAGTGACATTTGTCGCTTGTTGATAACGTGTAGGTGGGATGAATGCGCCTTGGCCGTTCAGACTGAAGTCACATGTCAAAAGATCAGATATGTATCGGTTTCAGGAGCACATATCCAAGTGGCCTGGGTCACAATTGAAAAAATCAGATCTGTGTGGTTCAGACTGTCATTAAAAGATCAGATACAGGAACATAGGGGACAAAAAATCGGATTTGGGTCACTTTACGCTGCAGTCTCATCATAGCCTTTGTGACACCGGAATAAATGTATTAGTTGCGCTCAGGAGCCTAATATCCAAGTACACCTGCTCCAAGTACTCACTCTCATGACTAACAACCTTCAACTAAACCACCTCCCCATTTCACATCTGATTACATGTCCCAGTGAAAAGACAATCATGTTGCAGTTTTCCATTTAGCATATGATGGGACAAACCCTAGTTGTTTTTTCCCATGGTAGATTATCTTAATAAGTCAGCTGATACGTCATTCATATAGGCTGAATGATTAACACTTTAATGAGAATTACATATATAAATGAGTAACACTTTAATGATACTTAATGAGAAATACATATATAGCATAAAATTCTCTAACAGTCACAATAAAATCTGTGTTTAAAAGAACTGGATTTTACTTGTTGAATCTTTGCCATAAAACGTTTTGACTCAGCTGTAGACCTCATAAGACCAGTGATATCTGATGAGGGACACACCACAGACCCTACAGTGAGACAATGATTTATCTGGAATGTTTCACAGTATGGCATTAAACCTATAAAAGCTATCCAAAAAGTATCACCAAGGAAACAGTACTGGAGGCACGGTTACTCAAATAAAACTTTAATCTGAGCTTTGTTTCACACACAAACCCTGCATGTTTCTTCTTCTATTTGAGTTCTTCTCTCAGACAGGAAACACTCAGTTGCACCTTGTGATGTCACGTGGTAATACAGGAAGTGCTCCACTGTGTTTTAATTTCCATACACTAGAATCATTTGGATGATTTCAGCTCTGGAGTTGCCGATCTCGACTGAACAAAAGGTAAAAAGAGCTGTTAACCTGAAAACTGCTTCATGACATCATGAGGTGGAACAGAGCATTTTGAGCTTTGGAAATGTAGATGTGAATGAAACAAAACACAACTCCAGGTCTGTTTTTGATAAGGTAACATTATTCTAACATGGTTTAAAGCTCACAAGAGTCAATTTGTCGTTAATATAGGGCCTTTAAACTAGACTCTTTGTATCTCTTTGTCCTCCCTCATGTCTTTCTTTCACTCTCTCTCCAGCTGTCTGTCTCTCTCTCTCTTATTTAGACTCTAACCACAGACAATTTAACCACATTAGAGCATGTACTACACGTGAGAGCCGCTCTGAGGTGACTCGGTTCTTCTATCTGACAAAATAGTCCCATCATTGCCATAAACGCAGTCCCTCAGCACCGGCCCCCTCCTCCTTTCATTGGCGCCTGATTTCTCTTAAAAGGATTTGGGAGCTCATCTCTTTCTGAACACGGCTGGTTCCACTGCGTCTGTCACACGCACTCACTGGCTTAGACATGCTCGGCGCCACAGATACTCCCGGGGCATCAGGTATAAGAAATGACGAGGGAGAAGGATGCTACGGGCCGCGCCAGCTTAAGAGGCATTTCAGGCGTTCATCTCACACGAGGGGAGGAGCGGATCGCAGTATTCAAGCTCTTTAAAGGGCCCAGATTGCACCATTTTCTGCTCTTGGTGCGATCATTTAATCAAAAACCTACTTGGAATTGTGTTTTATGTCATTCACTCAGGTTTAACACAGAAACCCGGTACATTTAGGGAATCAAGTTTGAGAGAGGTAGTTCAAAGAACACTTTTAAAACATCAAGCAAAAATAATACATCAAAATACCAAAAAAAAAAAAAAATCTTACACAAATATAAAATAAAATAAAATAAAATAAATCAATCTGCAATCAAATGATTTGTGTAGTTGTGTAAAATATCTGTCTTTCCCTCTTTGGAAACATGTAGTTTTAGTTCCACATCTTTCTCAGTTGTGTTTGATGCCGTTCTCTTTGGTTGATTTTTGGTTGCAGCTTTGGCACAAATGGACAGTTGGACAGCTGAGCTTGGCGCCTGCTCCTGAAGCTGTTATAGATGTTTCCTGCAGCAGTCCAGTGGACTCCAACACAGACAATAAGGCTGCATTCAGACTGCAGCCTGAAGTGACCCAAATCCGATTTTTTGGCTTCTATGTGACCTGTATCCGATCTTTTAGTGACAGTCTGAATGGCACAGATCCGAATTTTTCAAATGCGACCCAGGCCTCTTGGATATGTGGTCCTGAATCCGATACATATCCGATCTTTTGACATGCGACAGTCTGAACAGCCAAAGCGCATCCATCTGACCTATACGTCATTAACAAGCGACAAACGTCACTATTCTGCGCTGAAGCAGGCGGAAACCGGAACTGTAAAATCGCCAGGTGCTCAATGCTCGCGACCATATTTGGACAACTTCCGTAAACACAGAGCATGCTCACTGCGGTTGACGCATGCGGTTGACGTCATCGTGTCCTCCAGTGCGCATGCGGGACACTTTCGGGCCGTTTACCGTTCACACTGAAGTCACAGACAAGTCGCATTTAATTGGAAATTTGAACAACCTCGCAAAAACATCGGATTTCACAAAAAAATCGGAATTGAGCAGTAAGCCCTGCAGTCTGAACGTAGCCTAAGTTTGTCCAGCACTTCCACTGTAGAATAACATTGTTCTAGAAGAAGCGTCCACCACAGAACGTTGAATATTAGAAAAGCTCTGAGCACCAAAACTTCAACAGGAAACATCCACAACACCTTCAGGAGCTCCAAGCTCAGCTGTCCGTCAAACAGAAATTAGCCAATTAGAATGCACCAATGAAAATCCCGCCCACCTGTCACGTTTATGTCAAAATATCAGGGAACTAATTGTGAAAATGCAACTTTTTCCTTTTAAAATGCCTTGACAAGACTTTGGTTCTGTCATAAACCAGAGAAGATTAAAACATGCTTAAAAATTATGATTCTGATTATTATTTGTATTACTTTTTTACTACATATTACACTGTATTTCAGTTATTGTTACATTCCTCACAATTACACACACAATTTGATTGCAGTCTATATATATTTGAAAGCATTTCTTGAATTGTATAATTCCAAACTGATTCCATAAACATTTAGTTCTTCTAGTAAGTAAGTCTTTTATTTATATAGCACTTTTCATCCACTTTTTTTTGTCCCCAAAGACACTTTACAGAGCATTATTCAGCATTATTCATTCATTCTATACCTGGTGATGGTGAGTTACCATTGAAGCCACAGCTGCCCTGGGGCACACTGACAGAGGCACAGCTGCCATGCCAATTGGCACCATCAGTCCCTCCGACCATCACTCACACTAGGCATTGTGGGTGAAGTGTCTTGCCTAAGGACACAATGATTGAATTGATTGTATTTAACTGACCTTGACTATCGACTGTTCTTGGAGACCTGGAGCATGTTTAGGGTTGATGGGGGAAACCAGAGCACCTGGAGGAAACCCATTCAAGACACGGGGAGAAACATGCAAAGTCCACACAGAAAGGCCCAGGCGACCTGGGGATTGAACCCAGAACCTTCTTGCTGTGAGGCATGAGTGCTAGCCACTCAGCCACTGTGTCACCAGCACACCCCTGTTCTCTCAGACACAAAGCTCTCTGATCATTGCTCCACTATGTTTTTAAACTCCATACACCTTCACATGTATCAATGGGATGATTTCAGATCTGTATGAATTAACATTCATGTGTGAATGAAACAAAACACAGCTCCAGGTGTGTTTGTGATGAGGAAACAACATATTAACATAGCTCAAAGCTCAAGAGTCCATTTTTACATAAAATAGAACTTTTAAACAAGTCTAACACATAAAATTACTGTCAGAAGCTGGTCAGCACTAGCCGACAGTTTTTCATTTCAAAACACTTAAACAGAACCATAAACACTCACATTAATCACAGGTTCTTAAAAATGTGCTCTTTAAATCCTTTTTTTTTTTTTTTGAGTTTTCAGACAGTTGAAAAACTTTTTTGTCAGTGATTGCTCGTGTGTGCTTTATGTCATCTGAACATTTCACCATACACATAACATGCAGGACACCCCCAGCGTGACCTCAAAGTATCTGTTTGAGTCTAAGGTGCGTCTGTGTGTGTGCAGGTATGACCGGAGTAAGCTGGTGTTGAAGGAGATCCACAATGTGCAGTATGTGACCTGCATGAACCCCACGGCCGGCAGCTTCACCATCAACCCCCGACTCCAGGTACGATTTTACTACACCATTTCTATTTAAGAGAGGATAATTTGACTTTTACGGGGTATTAACCACTAATGCATCACATATTTAGATCACCATGTGACCTTTTATTGTTTGAAAATGCTATATTTGCCAAAAAAACAATATATGAACATTCAAAAAGAGGTTTGAGATGTCCTCCATGCTTCAGTATTTTAGCGTTATCTCCTGGGCCTGAGTAGTTTCATTAGTGGGATGCACACTTTAGCGCTCTGAAGGGGGAGTGACTTAGTGAGAGGAGCAAAGGGATGGGAGAGTCTTATAATTTATCAAACATGTAAATACCTTGTTTTTGGTGAATATAGCATTTTCTAAACACTAAAAGGTAGCACAGTGATCTAAAAAGGCAGTTAACAGCCCAGATTATCGTCTTTAAGGAAGCTTTTATAGTTTTATAAATGAGACCCCTGCTCCTGTAAACCCATCCTAATCTCATAAAAGAACCATTTACCTGTATGATTTTCCTCTATCATAGTCATTAAGACACAAACCGATGCTGTAATCATGCTCAGTGAATTAGATTTGAATAGCTTTGAACTGGAACTCACTTCTTTTTTTTTTTTTTTTTTTTTTTTTTTTTTTGGATTACTTTAATGAATGCCAGCTCGCCATTAGGGGAGAACTGTTCTGCTGTACATTCAGTGTTGGGCAAGTTACTTCAAAACTGTCATGCACTATTTATTACTTGTTACTCAGAGTGGGCAAAAAAATAGAAATATTGATATATATTGTATCGTTTAATGTGATGATACAGTATCGATATCTTAGGCTGCTGTATCAATATATCTCCAAGAGTATTTTTTGGTATATTTTACTCAGTTATTTTGTTACAGTTTGTTTCTTACCATTGTCTGTATCCTCAACTTTACCATTGTTGGTGCACTTATGTTATACTACCAAGATATAACAGTGACTCTCTGTCTGCACAATTCATATAGTTTAATTCAAAATGCCTGAAAAATGCAAAAGAAGCTCATTGTGTTAGATTATGAAGAGCAGGGATGGGATTAAATACATTTTCTTCTTCTCCCACACCTTTTTGGGCAAAAAAATAAAAATACATTAATAATAATAATAATAATAATAATAATAATAATTTGTTGTTGTTATTTTCATTTCTATTATGATTTCACTGTTGTCATATGTTCCATTGTATATGAATGTAAATCTTTACTTGCCCAAAATAAATGCATAAATAAAAAATAATTACAGTGCAACAGTTTTGTTCATGTGACACATTTGACATTTTCTCTTGAGGATTAAAATGTTTGTGTTTCATATGAACTTTACACAAAGACTTTTAGTGTCTCAGACATGATTTAGCCTTTATTTTTATTGAACCACATCGAATCAATTTGAAATATATCATATCAAATTGAAAATGCACTGTATGTAGATATGTATCATATCGTGGTCCATGTATCGAGGTATGTATCGTATCTGCAGCTTCTTAATGATACCGGCCCTACTTGTTACTGTCATTTCAAAGTAATTTGTTACATTACAATATTACTGTATTTAAAACGTAAGGCACTACACTACTACTGCATTAATTTTAAGGTACTCTCACCAAAATAACTGGAAATATGGATTTGGCAATCTAAATGTAGCTCATGGTGCTCAGTTATCTCATCACACATCCAGTGAAGTGATGTGGGATCTGACTGAGCCAAACAGGATGTAGAGTCAGGATCACTAATCTGCAGCTTCACCTCGGTCCGTGCTCTGTGTGGATGTAAACAAACACACGTGAGGAACTACTCTCACCTTTTTACTGTCAAAGAATGCCTCGAATATTCTATGGATAAAGAGGATGAGATGTTGCAGTTTGTATTTACAACTTTACGAGAGGTGAGGAATAATTATGTTTTCTATTTCCTGAGTTTGAATGTTACATCTCTTTGTCTGTCACGCCGTCTGCACCTGACACTCTCATTTATTGGCTGTTGCTGTAGCGTTGATGTTTGGTGGTTACGATCTGACGGAGCAATTCAGAGTCACACACACACAAGCCTCACAGAAGCTTCAAAATCACACTCAAAGACAAAAGTCTGTTCACGCCAATCAGGCAGATTCTCCTGTAGTGTGCAGCGGCCTTTAATACTATATTTGACTTGATTTACAACGATGTTATATGTCTGTTCTGATCTGATCAGACGTTTCACCGCTGCTGATCTTGCGGTGATTTTCTCGAATTTGTATGAAGAAAAACAAAAAACCCACCACTTCAATCCAGGTTAAAAATGCACTGTAACGCACGTAACTGACATTTGTACTGAGTAAAATATTACCTTTTACTTTTTTTTCTACACTTCCTTACATTACTGCGTTACAGTAAAAAGCAATGATTACAGTCATTTGTTACTTTTGTAACGCGTTACTCTCAATAATGTGTGCATTTCTTTAAAGTGTAAAATGCCAGTTAGACTCCCTGCTGTTTCAGTCTTAAACCCTGTTTGCACGGGATAAGTCCAACCTGGGGATGTCTGGTAATGTGCAAATTCCCGTCCCACTTCCGTGTTACTTGCAGCACATTCACACGGGATAAGCAAAGTCCATAAATGACTCTATTTTACTGACATTGACTGAGATTGAAAGAGAAAAGAACAGAACAGAAAAGAAAGATAGAAAAGGTGCAATTACAACAAACACTGAGATGCAGATTCGTCCGGGACTAGTATTATCCCGGACGTCTGATATAGTAGGTCATTTGTGGCAGAACTTTTACTTTACACATTACAGACATGATACATTTGCACAGGATTAAGATCTCAGGCTCCTCTCCAATTATTTCAAATCACCAAAGGTCCACAGGTAAAACTAATCCCGTGCAAATACGGCTTTAGAATAGTATTTTATGCATGTCAGTGCTATTGAAAATCTAATCAAAGTCAGTTTTTGAGAGTTAGTTTATAGAGTCTATATTTTCATTGGCTCATTTATCCGCTTTGTATTTTACCAATAACGACTTTGTTTGCATTTAATAATAGTCATCTGAAAGTCCAAAAGTTTGTTCCTTACCCTCCAACTTGAAATGATGTTAGCCTAAGCCCGCTAAGCCTCGGAGACTTAACTCAAGTAATGTACAATATGTATGCATGCATTATTATCAGAGAGATGAAGCTTTTATTATCGCAAATACAGTATCTTTCATGTAAGAAAAGCAAAATAAAGCCAGGCTCTTTGGGGATTATTGGTATCAGAGTATCGATACTGACAGATGTGTGTATGTGTGCTGCTCTGCAAATATCAATACTGTTATTCTGCTCATTTTAGTGCTGGTTTTAGCCATTTTTTTCTTAATTTTGGATCAAACACTCTGACAGATCCATGTCTCTGTGTTTTGTTAGTTCTTTAGAGCCTGTTTGAAGAAGATACTTTGCAGCTGATGTCTTCAACATTCCGTGCGGGTGTAAACACTAACTGTAGGCCCTGCTCTGTCTGAGGCTTCTTAGACTTTAATCTGAGTTTAATTTTAACACAATCTGACCATAAAGAACTGGATTAACTGGAACTGTAACAGGTGAGTGGACTTGTGCTGTTTAACAAGTCTCTCTCAAATAACATTACAGTAACAAGGGAGCTCTTCTGTTAGTCGCTCTCACCTTTTATGGAGAGGAGAAAATTCAGTTTGTCGACTGGACAAAGTTAGTTTGGTTGAAGACGTTTCGCAGCTCATCCAAGATGCTTCTTCACTTCTGGTCGGACGCTGGTGAACAATTCCTTATATCTGTCTGCAGGGAGTAACTAACTACTCTGAAACTAACACACACACTTGTTTACAGTTTCTGTTTGTTAGTTCGGTCTATTGACCTGTACAGGGTGTGGGGTCTAATTAGCAGAACAATTCATGGTCATAATGGAGCTTCCACACCTCTGGACTTGACCTGGATACACCTGTTGTTCTCTTGTTTGTTTAGATTTAGGTTTGAGGATGGAGTTGTAAATAGGAGATAGATGGTGTCTGAGGCCTCCATTTCTGTTTAGAGAAGGATTCTCTTTCTTAACAAATATGGCTTCTTTCACTCCCCTCTCAAACCATTTCTTTTCTCTGGCTAAAATCTGTACCTCACTGTCCTCAAAGGAGTGGCCTGTGGCTTTTAAGTGGAAATGTACAGCAGACTGAGGTCCACTGCTGCTCTCTAGTCTGTCACCTCTCGTCACATTTTAGTTGAAAATCAAACTCCTAAACAGGACCATAAACGCTCGTGTTATCACAGGCTCCTGAAATGAGGTGTTTAAATCCATTTAGTGTTAAAACTTGCAGATGTGTGCATTGTGCCACCATAGCAACTGCTGAACATTCCTTCAGGTACAGATACATGTAGAACACCCCCTGCATGGTGTCAGTACATGTACTTATTGAATTTGTATTGATTGACCCACAAGGCTGCCCAAATACCCCCAAACATACTTGTACTTTAACCTGTGGGATCACTCACACCTGTCAGTAGATCAGAAGATCAATTCACTCTTGTCAGTGTAAGAAACTTAAACCTAGACAAACTTTATTGATCCACAAGGAAAAGGATTTGGACACAGGAGTCACACATAAGTAGCAAAAAAGATAGCAAGAAATAGGAGTCAAATAAGACATAATTAAACAAATGTAAATATACAAGTCAAAATAAAATAGAAAAATAAGTCATAAAATATAAAATCTCAGTATTATCTTTTCCATAAGGGTGAATTCTGCAGTTGTAGGGAGTATTATCTGTTACATGAGGGTGAGTTGTTATACAGTTGTAGGGAGTATTATCTGTTACATGAGGGTGAGTTGTTGTACAGTTGTAGGGAGTATTATCTATTACATGAGGGTGAGTTGTTGTACAGTTGTAGGGAGTATTATCTGTTCCTTAAGGGTGAGTTGTTGTACAGTTGTAGAGAATATTATCCATTACATAAAGGTGAGTTGTTGGAATACACCCAAAAATCATTTACTAACTTGTTTTTGGTCTAAAATAAACTTTCAGAACAGTCAATTATGCTTTCAGTGTTTTGCTGAAAGTATTTTGGATCGTTTCGCTCAAATTTCCCCCTGCCCACCTCCTCCCCTCCAAAAATAAATAAATGAAAATCAATGCAAAAATATGTTTGCAGTTTAATAAATGTGCGTGTAGATTTTGTGCTGGAGTGTAGACCTCCACTTCTCTTGTGAGTCTGGAGCTTTGTAAATCTGGTGAAAGATTGAGGTTTTCACTGCCCTCCAAAATGTGGACACCTCACAACAATTCTCCACAATCTCTGAAACGATTGACTGCTTCCCTCCTCAGCACCTCCCCCTGCAGTGTGGAGTATGGAGGTGATGGTTCTTCATCTCCCAGGGCGCCACTGTAACATAGATTCATCCATCCATCCATGCATTTTCTTCCACTTATTCCGGGCCGGGTTGTGGGGGGAGCAGTCTAAGCAGGGACTCCCAGACTTCCTTCACTCCAGACACATCCTCCAGCTCCTCCGGGGGGACACCGAGGCGTTCCCAGGCCAGCCGAGAGACATAGTCCCTCCAGCGTGTCCTGGGTCTTCCCCAGGGCCTCCTCCCGGTGGGACATGCCCAGAACACCTCCCGAGGGAGGCGTCCAGGAGGCATCCGGAACAGATGCCCGAGCCACTTCAACTGGCTCCTCTTGACGTGGAGAAGCAGCAGCTCTACTCCGAGCTCCTCCTGTGTGACTGAGCCCCTCACCCTATCTCTAAGGGAGCGCCCAGCCACCCTGCGGAGGAAACTCATTTCGAGCACTTGTATTAGCGATCTCATCCTTTCGGTCACTACCCAGAGCTCATGACCAGAGGTGAGAGTAGAAACGAAGACTGACCGGTAAATCGAGAGCTTAGCCTTTCAACTCAGCTCCTCTTCACCAGAACGGTCCGATACAGCGACCGCATCACTGCAGACGCTGCACCGATCCACCTGTCAATCTCACGCTCCATCCTCCCCTCACTCGAGAAGAAGACCCTGAGATTCTTGAACTCCTCCACTTGAGGCAGGGACTCATTCACACTGAATTATTGATAATGTTGTGAGTGTTGTTTTGGAGATCTGTAAAACAAGAGTGTTGGCTATTGTTTGTAATAAAAAAAAAAAAGTCATAAAAAGTAGCAAAAAAGGTTTTACGTATACAGCACAGATCACCTGAGGGTTTTTTCATGACTGATGCTGATATGACTGTTTACAATCTAAAGCAGCTGAATCCGATAAGTTCTGCCAGTATTTCTGGGCTGATATATTAGTATTTTTTGGACAATAAGGCACATCAGATTACAAAGGACAATATCAGTAATGTTGAATTCTCTCGTCTATTTTCATATGTAAGGCGCATTAAGCAAAACAAACAGTCAGATAAGTCAAACTTCAACTCATTCACAAAAACTCTCAACACTGTTCAGTTGTAACAGATACACTCACTTTTTCAGTTCATTCCTCTTCCACAAATCAATCAAATTCTTCATCTTCATAATCTTCTGAGATTAACAGTTGGGCAATTTCGGTATCAAGCCCAGATCCCTCTCGTTATTATCCAAGTCAGTCTTGTCGCTGTTACTTTGCTCTTTTGTGATGATTCTGGCCTTCGTGAAAGCTCAAACGACACTTGAGACTGATCCTTAGATGCCACCATCCATTGGCAGATCGTGGTGTAGTTCGCCCGCCGTTGCCTCCCTGTCTTGGTAAATGTGTTTTACTTCCCAAGGCTCCTGAATACAAGAACCTTAATGCTCTGACAATCCATCAAGCGGCGTGGCTTCATAGCTTACCAAAGTCGTACTAAAACGTAAAACACAACGGACTCCAGACTCTCCAAAGAAGTACAAATTGCACGAAGAAAAGTATAGTAAAAAGGCCTTTATTTAGATGGCTATAGCTCAGTACTAAAACATTTTGACAGATTTTTGAGCGCCGTGTACCACATAAAATTGGTTCGAGGTCAGTAAACACAACCAGAATTAATACATAAGGTGCACCGGATTATAAGGCGCACTGTCAATTTTTGAGAGAGGATTTTAAGTGCGCCCTATAGTCCAAAAAAATACGGTAGGTTTAGATTATTTTCCCCAAGTTTTGTAATTAAAATTTACCTCAAACTCACCCACAGCTGTTTTTTTTTTTTTTGCATAAATCTATACGAGAGCAGTGAAGTAGTCACAAAATGTCAGTTATCTCTTTGCATGTGTACTATTTAGGCAGGAGGTCGGACTAAATAATATCTCAACCCATGCTGGAGATTTAAGGACAATAGCTGATGTTCAAAAAAATATCGGCCCATTATATAGGCCTATAAAGTATATCTTTCTAATTTAAAGTGATATTAACAACATGCTTTTAAATGTTGTTAATGTATCTTCTGATTATTGTTGTCAAGATACACCAAAATAACCTTGGAGACCTTGGAGAAAGCAGGCGCCTGATTTGTCTGTTATTAATGTTCATAGCTTGATTTAAGGACAACAAAGTGAAATAAAAAAAAAATAAATAAAAAAAATCAGTTCTGCTTATAAACTCATGCTCTATGGTAACAGACTGATGTGACCCTCTGATGCGACTGACCCTCTGTCTCTGTGTCTGTCTCCAGCGTCACTTCTGTGTCTTCGCCCTGTCCTTCCCCGGAGCCGAGGCCCTGAGCTCCATCTACACGTCCATCCTGTCGCAGCACCTGAAGGGCCCGGGCTTCAGCAGCGTCCTCTCCAAGAGCTGCCCCACCGTGGTGCAACTGTCCCTGGATCTGCACCAGCGCGTGGCCTCCACCTTCCTCCCCACTGCCCTCAAGTTCCACTACGTCTTCAACCTGCGCGACCTCTCCAACATCTTCCAGGTAACGCCTCGCTGTGGCCGACAGCCAGTTAGACAGCCTTGTTTTTTGGACCATGAATTTGCATTGACCCTTCCAGAACTAACAACATTTCCCTGATGCTAACTATACACACTGCTCTAATACAGGGGTGCTCACACTTTTTCAGCATATAAGCTACTTACAAAATGACCAAGTCATAATGATCTACCTAATACAAAGCCAAGCAAACTGCACTGAAACACTCTGTGCCCCTTTTTTGGACCCTCACCCACAGTTTGAGAACCCCTTCTTTAAGAGAACTTCCTCTGGCACTTTACACAAAACTGTGAAAAAAGTGAAGGAAGATTTTTAAACCTGTTTTTTAAAGTTCCAAACTGGAGTTGCATTCTTTTCTGGTTTTGCAGTGATATTTACCAGCTTCTGCACATTTACCAAACCAAACACACATCGTGACAAACACAGATGCATTTGTGCACTTTTGTTAGACAAACTTCAGCCAAATGTGGCAGTAGGTCTGTTCTGTAGATCTGCTCTATGCTGTAGACCTGCTTTGTGCCAACACTGGAACACAAATTTAGACTTGTTTTAGCTTCACGTTTGGTCTTGCTCTTCTAATCAGCCGCACTGTGGGAGGGGCTTGTGTTGGCTGTACGCAGGAAGGAGCGAGAGCGTGAAAAGGCGAGGGGCGGCGTGCTGACGTGAGGCAGATGGACAGGTAGGATGTTTAGAAAGTTGAACCTGCCCTGTGATGCACGCTGGTACACGAGGGCACACGCTGTTGCAGACGAGCCGTGCATAGGGAGCGTGTGTGTTTGTGATGTGCCGTAGAGTCTCCGCGGGTTTCAAATGAGCGCACAGGCTGCACTGAGACGCCCCACATGCTCCTGCACCCGCTACAAGTTTATTACCAACAGCAGCGGCCGTAATGAAATATGATTGCACTTGTTGAGTGTCAGACCTTGAGTGAGAGACAAGACCGAGTCCAAACACGAGTCCGAGACGAGACACGGCGATCTACCCACACGACCTTGGCGATCGACTGGTAGATTGCGATCGACTTATTGAGCACCCCTGATCTAATGTGATCTGACCATAAAGAACTGACTTAGCTGGAACTACAACACGTGAGATGGTTGAGTGCGTCGCAAATCACATTACAGTCACAAGTGAGCTAGCAACTGGAAACTGCTGAACATTCCTCCATAAACACACCCCAGTGTGGGGGTGACTTACATATGTATCTTACTTATCACGCAGCTTGTGACTATGTGTTACATCAGGCCTGGGCGGAGCCACATTAGGTCCTTTGGTCGACTCTGACCAGTTCATTTAAACTCATTTGGAAAAAATAAACATATTTTATCATTTGACCTCGTGCCTGGACTAAAACTGCATTGTTTTTTATTTTAGAGTTTTTTTTTAAATGATATATTTTGTTCGGCAACTTCACTTTTTCATTGTTTAGTCAGAACATCTCAGTTAAAACTCTTCCCAGTCTGAGCAGCTCATCTCAACAATGATATTCACTTTTTAATAAAGAAATACAATGAATATTATGCAGAATTGAATTAAGCATTTTGGCCACCACAATATTTTCTCATGTGGCCATGTTTCTCATGTGGCCACATGGAAAAAGAATTACCCACCTCAGTGTTACATATGAGATATTTATATCACCATGTTACATTTTCTTGTTTGGAAAATATACTTGCCTAAAACTTTGCCTCCCCACACTTCCCCTTCACTACACAATTGTCGAGTGAAATTATCTACTGAGCCACATGTTGAGTTTTTTGAGTTGGCAAAGTCCAGAGTTGGTCTAGCAGCAGTGGAGCTTTCCAATGGAGAACATAATTAGCAGTGTTCACGGTCAGAGTTCATTTAGCAGGTGGGAGCAGATGAGCCGTGTGCAACTGAATACTGATGCTGGTTAATAAAAGAAAGACCTCAGGTTGAGCTCACACTGTTCTCCAGTTCTCCTCCTTCACTTGGTTTGAGTTAACACTGTTCTCCAGTTCTCCTCCTTCACTTGGTTTGAGTTAACACAGTTCTCTAGTTCTCCTCCTTCACTCAGGTTGAGTTAACACTGTTCTCTAATTTCCTCCTTCATTCGGTTTGAGTTAACACAGTTCTCTAGTTCTCCTCCTTCACTTAGACAGGCCATGTTTTATGTGGAGCTGTGATCTCTCGACTGCACACGTGGAGAAACCAAGCTACTGTCTCTAATTTCTCATCTAAATGAGTATTGATTTAAGAGCCAGTGCTGAATAAGTGTAACAGAAAATACAATGGATTTGCACTTCCCTGGCTGTTCTGGGGATTTCATGTATTTAACTGAATGTAATATCAGAGCAGGAGCTGTCAGGGGAGAAGCTCTGGGCCATATTTCTGTCACAGTCCTCCACGGCTCTGCACAGGGCAGCCTCTCTCATTTAACTCTCCTCTATAATTAATACTGAGAGCCACTCAGCACCAGGACTTCATTTTTCATCTTCTATCCAGGAGTTTGTGAGACAGCTCCAAGTTCACTGTGGTATAGACAAAGGCCTTGTTCCTTTATGAAGCGTGCAGATGAAACACTGTTTGGACTGGGAGGCTGCTGTACTTTTGTTTATGTAGCTGTGTGTGCTGCAGATGGTTATCAGCTCTTATCTCACACACTTTAGATGCAATCAAATGATATGCTAAGAGTGGTTTGTCAGAGAAACACTGCTGCTTTTGTACACTGTGTATGAATGCTCCTGCACAGTGGAGCAGACACACACACACACGCACACACACTCTCACACAAAGTTACTTTTCTGCAGCACTCGGCAACTTTATGTCTGTGCAATTTTCCATACTTAAGATTGGTCACACACACACTCACACACACTCACACACACACACACAGTACACTGTCACATAGTCACACACAGTATAACAGACTCTTAAATAAATTTTGTTTTCCTCTTTAATTAGTCTTAAAACTGCCGTACCCTGAGCTGCTGCTTTCACTTGGGTAGAATAATTTGCAGTAAGTTTTTTTTACACCAGTTTTAACACCACCACTCACAGTGAGAGTTTGTAGATTTTGGCTAGAGTTTATTATTTAAACAGACTGTACTGTTTGTCAGCAGCTTTTGCTCTAACCAGAACTCAGATGTGCCATGGGTCAGTGTTTTGTTGGTGGGTGGTTCATCACTGAACCAGCACAGTGTAATTACTTTACTATCGTGCTACTGCTTTACCTGGAAATTAACCCCTTAATGCCGACTGTCACAGATATGTGACAAATCATTTGGATCAAGACTTAAGCTGAGATAATTGCAGCTGCATTTCTCCCATGCTAATTATTGCATATGCAGCACCTTAATAGGAACATTTTGTAAGCACTTGTTTCTAAGTTGTCACAAATGTGCAACATACCTAAATTTCTGTGTTTTCTAAATGTGTTTCCCACCTTCCAAGGTGGTTGGTCCCTCTCACCTTCATCCAGCTCGTGTCCTCTACCAGAGGCCTGGGAGCCTCATCTTTGCTGTTTCAGTACTGCACTTTTCTGTACTGAGATGTCTGATGTTTTTCCCGATATCTGCTGTAGCCTCTTCCAGTTTGGGGGTTACAGCCCCATGTGCTCCAATCACCACAGGCACCACTGATGCCTTTTACCTTCCAGGCCTTCTCCAGCTCCTCCTTGAGAGCTGGAGAAGTTGCTTTCCTTGTTGCCTCTTCAAGGTTGGCATTTGCTTGTGGGATACCAAGGTACTTGGAAATGTCCTCAACGTCTGCTATTGTTCCCTCTGGGAGTGAGACCCCCTCTGTGTGGACTACCCTCCCTCCCTTTGTCTCCATCCTACTACATTTCTCAAGTGTGAATGACATTCCAATGTCTGTACTGTAGATCCTGGTGGTGTGGATCAGTGAGTCGATGTCTCGCTCACTCTTAGCGTACAGCTGATGTCATCCATGTAGAGGAGGTGACTGATGGTGGCCCCGTTTCTGAGTCAGTATCCATAGCCAGTGTGGTCCATGATTTGGCTGAGAGGGTTCAGACCTATGCAGAACAGCAGTGGGGACAGTGAGTCTCCTTGGTATATGCCACATTTGATGGACACTTGTGCAGGTGGCTTCCCATTGGCTTCAAGGGTTTTCCACAACCGCATCGAGTTTGCAATGAACGCCCTTAGAGTCCTGTTGATATTGTACAGCTCCAAGCACTCAGTGATCCATGTGTGTGGCATTGAGTCGTAGGCTTTCTTGTAATCAATCCAGGCAGTGCACAGGTTGGTCTTACGGGTTCTGCAGTCGCGGGCGACTGTTCAGTCAACCAGGAGTTGGTGTTTGGCTCCCCTGGTGTTTTTGCCCATGCCCTTCTGTGCTGCACTCATGTACTGATTCATGTGCCCACTTATCTTAGCCGCAATGATGCCTGACATGAGCTTCCATGTTGTGGAGAGACAGGTTACTGGTCGATAGTTGGATGGGACTGCACCCTTTGAGGGATCCTTCAGGATCAGGTTCGTATGCCCTTGGGTTAACCATTCAGGGTGAGTCCCATCCTTTACCAGCTGGTTCATTTGTGCTGCCAGGCGCTCGTGGAGGGCAGTGAGCTTCTTTAGCCAGTATATGTGGATCATGTCAGCACCTGGTGTGGTGTGGTGGGTGTGGGTGACTGCCACTGTGATGGTGACTCTGGATTCTTTTTGTTATAGTTAAATGAATAATTTCAACTTAATTTACCATCTACTGAAAGGGAAAAACACACACAAAACATGTATTTATATACATCTATGTAAATTCAGGTGTTAAAGGGTTAATGTTTATCTTCATTTATTCCATTTCAGATGTTTTAATGGTTAATAAACACAAGACATTCTAAACAGTATCGCCTTTCCACAGATCTTCCACCAACACTCACTCTCTCACACACACTCACACACACACCCACACGCACACACACACACGCGCACGTGCACGCACGCACACACACACACGCACATGCTCTTGTTCACACACCCGCATTACTAGCCAATGCGGGTGCA